CCCCCAGTTCTGCCGGTACAACAGCGCGACGACCTACCCCACAGAGCGCCTGCTCATCTTCGCGTCGCCCAGCGTGGCCAGCGCGGCGGCCGCGCTGCGCGTGCTGCTGGACTGCCTGGCCGCCGTCCCCGGTGCGCTGGAGCGCCTGGCGCCTCGCCCCGGCTCGCCCGAGCTGGCGCTGCGCATCGTCATCCCCGGGCACTGCGCGGGGGCGGTGATGGGCCCCGGCGGCGAGACCATCAAGGCCCTGGGCGCGCGGTGCGGATGCCATGCGGCGGTGGAGCCGCGCCCGCCACGCGCGGCCTTCGTGCCCTTCCGCGCCGTGGCGCTGGCCGCGCCCGGTCCCGCCGCGCTGGCCGCCGGCGCGGCGGAGGTGATGGACCTGGTCACGCGTGACCCGCGCTACGCGCCCGGCATCCAAGCCGTGACCAGCACCTGCTTCCGCATGCTGCCCGTGGCCGAGCGGCGAGTGGGCGCACTGCTGGGGCCCGCAGGCGCCCACATCCGCGCACTCCAGGACGTGCTGCGCGTGCGCATGGGCGTGGAGGACGGCGCCGACCTGGCCGGGGTCAAGCACGTGTCCTTCTGGGGGCCGGTGGAGAACGTGGACGTGGCCATGCGCGCCGTGGCTCTGGCCACGGGCCAGCAGCGCTGGCGCCCCGAGGGCGACAGCAGCGAGGGGGGCGGGACGCCGGGGGCGTGGCGCGGGCGGGCGGAGACCACCGAGGCCTTCACCCAGGAGTACGTGGAGGCGCGCGGCGCCGCGCGCGAGCTGCAGGGCGCCGCGGCATGACGCGCGGCGCTGCGGGGTTGATCCTCTCCCCACTACCTCACAAACACCTTTTGGCTCGTCTTTTCCCACCCCGGCACCACCCTGTACCTGTTCCCTATCCTATTCGGAAGGTGTGTTTGAAAGCTTGTAGCTCGCCTGTACCCCTGCCCTTCCTGCCTTTCGAGCTGTCCGCTGTGATTGAGTTGATGCCCGCGGGCAGGAGTTAGAGAGAAGGCAGGGAGGAGGAAGGTGTTTGCAAAGGGGAGGGGGGTTCTCGACCAACACGCACGCTGCAACAGCGGGGAATGCTCCTTTCCCTAAATGTGGTAGACCTGTGGGGACAGTACTTCTGTGGAACTCTCCTCCATGCATCCGTCTGTCCAAGTTTCCATGGCAAATCCTCGCGTCACCCCGCCCCTCCTGCCGCAGCGGCCCCTTGCGCCCCGCCTTCCAGCTCCAGGGCGGCAATGTCGGCGCGCAGCTGCTCGAGGAAGTCGGGGTTCTTCTCCAGCGCGTCCTCCAGCGGCTTGCGGATCTGGAGGTGGAGGAGGGTGGTCTGGAAGGTCACGGTGCCTGACGCCTCCTGCTCCACGCCTGTCTGGCAGCCCCCTTGACCTCATGACCGTACCCCACGCCCCTTTCCCACACACACAGCACACACCCAGCCATCCCACCTTTTGCTGCTTGGCAACCTCCTTCCGTGCCTTGGCCAGGGCCTTGTCGTCCAGCGGCGCGCCGCCGGCGTCCGCCGTCGGCTCGCCCGGCGCGTCGAAGCGGTACCGGTCGGCCAGCGCGCTGGGCACGCTGGGCAGCGCGGCCAGGCCCTCGAAGCGGTCCAGGTCGCGGCGGAGGCGGCCGAGGCGCGCCGCGCGCCGTGTCTCGGCCGCCTCCGCCGCCTGCTGCGCGCGCCGCGCCTGCTCGGCACGCAGCACGGCCGGGTCCTCCCGCTTCCAGGCGGCGGGGCCGCCCGCGCGGTCCTCCAGCTGGACACCTAGGTCCACCAGGGGACCATCCCGCACGCTGCGTGGAAAGGAGGAAAGGTGGGAGGGGGTCGAGTTCGTCGATGTGTGCTTGGTGCAATGAGCGACGGAAGACCGACGCCATGCGACAGACGGCAGTGGCATGGGGCAACCCAACACAATACAACTCTACACAAGGCTGGACCTCTCGGACCCCTCCCAGAACCTTGCCACCTGTCACATGCGGCGAGGACCTGGCCGGCGCCGGCGCCCTCCTTGGCCAGGCGCCGAATCTCGTCGCGGAAGGCGGCAAAGGCGTCCAGCACGGCCGGCGTCTCGTCCCTGCCCGCCGCCTCGGGCCCCGCGCTGGAAGTCACGCCAAATTCCAGCCCAAACTCGCCGAGGATGCGCGACACGTAGGACGCTACCGAGCGGATGAGTAGGCGCTGGGGCGGGCTTGCTGACCCTGCACGGAGACGAGGGGGGTAGGAAGGCATGGCAAGGCGCTGATGCCACCCAGGGCTGATTTGCTGCCGTCGACGGCAGCAACTCATGTGCTTAGATTAGACATCGACTAGGCCCCGTCCACCATCGTCCAGCCCCTTCACACGATTCCCGGCATTCATGCCTCCCAGCCGTCGCCCCACCAGACGCGGTCCCCCCCCACTTCTTCGAAAGCACACCTGGTCCCCGGGCAGAGCGGTACACATTGAAGGCCTTGATGAGGTCCCCCAACGCGTCCATCGCCCCCCGGGTGTTGATGTTGTCACACAGTGCGGCGTGCACAAGCTCCGCCGTGCTTTCCAGGGCGGCCTGCAGCACCTCCTCCTCTGCCTGCAGGGGTTGGTTGTCAGGGGCAAAGGGGGCCCGATCGTCAGCGGGGCACAAGGCCGAAACATGTAAGCATAGGTCTCCAGGCACCGCCGGCGAAGCGTGCTTGATGCGCCATCGGCCAACCTGGGGTGCGATTAACACCATGGCCATGCCCGTCCATCCCCCCGTTCCACCCCTCCCATACACTGCCCTCCGAATGCCTCACCTCCCAGCGCTCGGGCAGGGTGCCCGCCGCGGCGTCTGCGAGGGCCTGGGCCTCGCGCAGCGCCAGGTCAACATTAGAAAAGAAATCGCGAACCGACTTCTCCCTGGAGCGCGCCTCGCCGAGGACCTTTCATGGTGGAAAGGAGGGCATGGGAGTGAGGTGCACTACGATTTGCTACTTCATAGGGTGGTGACCCTGCCCCCAATGCCACTCCTTGCTCTCCCTATGCCCGGCGTCCCCTGCCCTTCGGAAACCCCCACCTGGTCGCCAAAGGTCATGGGCCTCTCCCAGGCCTGCAGCACAAACATGAGCCGCAGCTGCCGTGCCGAAATGCTCTCCAGCGCAGCCCTGAGCGTGTCATGGGGCGGAGAGGCCATGAGCTGACTCTGGTGATAGACAGGGCATGTGCTTACTGGGTAGATGTGCAGTGAGGATTTGCCGCAAGGAAACATCACTCCAAGAATAGGCTATTCGTGCACATCAAGGATGTAGAGGGCGCCCCAGGGGCAAGGGGGCCACCGAGGTGCCGAGCGGCACCGGCCCATCCCCACTCTCCCGGGGCGGCGCCGCGTCACGGCGTGCCGCGAGCGTGGAGCCCAGACCCCCCCAGATGAAGTCTTTGTGGCACGGAAAACCTTTTCCTTCTCGCGAACTTGCATGGGGGTCAACTATCTCCTGACCCCACGCGGCTAGCTGTGTGCCTCTGGTACTTGGTCCGCAGCCTGGATTTTGCGCTGGCTGACCAGTTGCCTCCATCCAAATCACCCGGTGTTCCCCCCAGCTCCCCACCTCCAACCTCCAATACCTGATGGTGATGAAGTTCTTCAGCGACTTGCTCATCTTCAGGCCGTCGATGCCTAGGTGCCCAGAGTGCAGGAAGTAGTTGACCCACTGCCGGCAGCCGCAGGCGTGGTAGTGGGCCTCTGACTGCAAACCATTGGGTTGGGTGGGTGGGGAGAGTTACATGGGCAGGGACCTCCTGCATTCCTCAGACACATACAAGCGGAGTCCCAAAGGATCTCTAAGGACATCCCCGTACCACGCACGCATGCAAACCCAAGCCCTCCCACCTGCGCCAGCTCGTTGTCGTGGTGCGGGAAGCGCAGGTCCTCCCCCCCAGTGTGAATGTCCAGGGTTCGGCCCAGGATCTTGGAGGCCATGGCGCTGCACTCGATGTGCCAGCCGGGCCGTCCCTCGCCCCAGGGCGACGGCCAGGCCGGCTCCCCGGGCTTCCGCGCCTTCCACAGAGCAAAGTCGGAAGGGTGGCGCTTGCCGTCCGCGCCCGCCTCGCCGGCCAGGGCCACCGACCCCACAGACCACGGCGCCAGCTTGCCGTAGGTGTGCCCAGCGCTCCTGAGGAGGAGGAGGAGGAGGGGGAAAAGGACGGTGGGAAGTGGGGTGGGTGCGGCGTGGTTTGAGCTGGGCAAGCAGGCGAGGAGGAGTTGAAGTGCCGGCGCAAGGAGCGATGCATCGAAGGGAGCGCTGTGCAAGCCACGACTGTAGAGTTCACATGAGACCCCATGCTAGGTGACTCTACTCCTGCTCCTCCACCTCCCCCCAAACCCCTTCGACCCGCATACCCACTCTCCCTCCAACCTCAACAGACCCCTCGCCACCTGAAGGCCGCGGTGTCAAAGTAAACGGAGCCGTGCGTTGAGTAGGCGAAGCCGGCGCGCTCGATGCCGCGCACGAACTCCACCACCTCCGGCAGGTACTCGCTGACACGCGTGAGCACGGTGGGCGGGCGCACCCCCAACGCCTCCATGTCGGCCAGGAACTCGGCCTCGTAGCGCGCCGCGTGGGCGCGGAAGACGGCCGGGTCGGTGACCTCGCCGCCGCGCGCCGCGTCCAGCCACTCCGCCAGCACGTCCCCCGCCACGCCCAGCAGCGCCGCCGCGTCAGCGCTCGGGCCCAGCGCCTCCAGCGCAGCCAGGGTGCCAGCCAGCCGCGCCGCGACATGCTCCTCCTGCGCCAGCAGGGTGTCCAGCTCGGCGACCACTCGCCCGTCGCCCTGCGTGGTCCAGGGTATTGGTTTCGGGGGGTGGGGGGGGTTGGGGGGGGTTGGGGTTGGGGGGTTGGGGGGTTGGGGTTGGGGGCGCGGGGTTGAGCGCCGGCGACGTGGAGGACTGCTCAGGGCCGACGCCCGAGGCAGGGCTGCGGCGGGCAGACAGGGTGCAGGGGGCCCCGCTGAGAGGAGCGCTGATCGAGCGGAGCGAACGAGCACCCTCAGACCGGCCCCACAGCTGAGGGTGCCAGCGATATCGACAGCCTCCGGGCATGCAGTCCCCAGGCACATACCCGGGGTCCACAGGGGTCGGAGGATCGCTCCAGGGCGGCCTTGCGCTCCGCGTGTGCCTTGCCCACCTTCTTCGCCTGCTTGGCCTGGGCAGCTGCCAGGGCCGCACGCGCATCCCTGGCCACCTGAGAGATTATTTTGGGGTCGGGGAAGGGGTGGTCGGCATCGACGTCGTGGACTAACCCCAGTGTGCGGTCGTCGAGCATCTGTTCTGCACTCTGGCAAGCCACTCCGCGAGGCCCAGCCATCCCAAGCAGGATGGAGCGTCGTACACTCACCCCTCAGGCCTGGCCACAGCACCACTCCCCAGCCCACCCCCTTTACAGACCCCCCCGCTCCTTGCCTGGCTGGGATCGGTGGCTGTGGCGCGGTAGGCCTCCAGCAGGTGGTTGCGGCGGGCCCTGAGGATGATCTTATCGTCGATGTCGGTCACGTTCATCACGTAGCGCACATCGTACCCAAAGTGGTCCTCCAGCACCCGGCGCAGGATGTCAAAGGTGAGGTAGTTCCTGGCGTGGCCCAGGTGCGCCGAGTCGTAGACCGTGGGCCCGCAGGTGTACCAGCTCACATGCCGGGAGCCTGGCCCAGCGGCGGGCACGAAGGGCACCTTGGCGTCCACCAGAGAGTTGTACAGGTGCAGTTCGGGGGCAGGCCTGGCGCTGCCATTGTGCAGACTGGAGGGGGGGGTCCAATCCCTCGCGCAGGACATCCTGGGGCGCCGTGGAAGGCCAGGGGCCGGGTCTGGGATTCGTCGCGCGCGACGCCGGCGAGGTCCTCGGCTAGCAACTGGCGCGTCGAGCGGTGATCGCCTGCCCTGTTCGCCAATTCTGGGATTATCGGTCCCAGACTCTAGACCGATGAAGGACTGTGGATTCCGGGGTGTCGGTGGAGGGCGGGGGTGACCCCCGAATTTGCCAGTGTGCCACCGTGTCGACGTTTTGAGCGCGCAGAATCCCGCAGTGACCCCACTCGAGACCCTTTCTCCCGTTATTACAACATCAAATTGAATACCAGTTTGCACAACGAATTATTGGCTATCTCAGACAGTGGGCATTTTTGGAAAGGGGTTAAGGGCTTGGCGGGCACACATGCCCTGGTCAAGGCGCTGGCTGTCCGCTACCATCAGGAGAGTCCTCCTCTGGAGAGAATGCAGGGAAGGACAGGCTGGCAGTCAGGCTCTCCCGCATCAGGCGAGCATTCTCCTCTGAGATAGCGCTGAGGTCCTCGGCCATCTCCTTTGCAATGTGGGACCTGCGATGGGTCCCGGCCCAAGTGTCTGAACAGACTTCCCACACTCGTGTGGGACCCCTGATCAGGACCCTCGTGAAAGGCCATGCCCACCACGTGCTCACCAGACACACCAGCACCAAAGTCCTCACCTGATCTCCATAATACGCTGGGCTATGTTTCGGGGGTCGATGCCAATGGGGCTCGTGCAATTGTACATGTCTGGCCGCCCCAGTGCACTCCATTTGGCGTCCTCGGGAGGCATTGAAAGGAGGTCTCTGAGGAAAGTCTCCCCACTCACATCAGCCCAGCTGCCCTCCTGCTGGGTTTGTGGGCTTCATCTCAGGTGTCCGGGCATCGCACTGGTGACCGTTCAATGCAGCAGCCTGGGGGTGCAACGTGACACGTGCCACTCTCGCTGACCTCATTCCAACCGCACTTTTTCACCTTGGGGATGGGGTGACGCTTCATGTAATCATTGAACCAACCGAAGAGGGTAGGATTCAGCTCGTAGGCGTAGAAACTTAGGGTGCGAGCCGCCCTATAGAGATGTTTACAAGGGCAGAGCCTGGTGATGAGCCCCTCGGAAGTGTACCCCCCCTCGGACCCTGGGCCCGGCCATGAGGCGGAGTAACATCGGCGCGCACCTCTCTGTGAGGAATCCCAGGAGCCTGTCGCGGTTGCCGTCCCGCAAGGGAGTGTCATCGGGGCTCCTCAACCAGGCGGGGCGCCCCTGCCGTCTGTTGCTCTTGCCAAAGTTGCCTGTCGCCGGGGATGTAGCTCATGAGGGCGTCAGAGCGACATGCGATCGCCAGCGCATGATCCAGCTTACAGCGACATGCAAGGCGCCCGTCACCTGACTTATGGCTATTTGATCGATTGGAACCGTCCCTGCGCCCTCCTTCCGAAGACCGCCTTCTCCTGGACTGGTCCTGGCTGCAACATGGTGGCGAAACTATTCGGCAGCAAATCTCCAGCATGGGGGAACTGGGACTCGCCACCTGCCGAATTCCTGCAAGTGATCTACACTGAGCAGTTTGCATGGCCTCGGCACGGCGAACAATGTCGAGGCCTGCGGCCCAGGGAGCTCCCTTCTGACACCCCGGGCGCGAGGGCGCGCTTCGATTGTTCAGAGTTGAGCTGCGACTCGCGCAGAAGCCTGCGAGCCATTGCACCGAATGGTCTTGCACAACTGGAGTAGTTGTGTTGCCAGTAACTCTCCCAATCATAACACGCTTTCCCTATGGGGCCTTGATCGAGGGCCCATGGCCGGGTGGGGACACGAACACCCGGGTCACCCCCGCCCACACATGGCTCCACAGAGCCAGCGACCCTGTGTTGCTCCCTCCACATCCTTCAATGGACAGCCTGGGATCACATCAGGACCTCTTTTCCCTCCTCGGGGCGACCTCCCTCCCCTGCCTCCTGGCCTTCCCCATGAGGAGCCACCCCCCTTTCCACCAGGTCATGGCACAGGCCCGTCTCAGCCCTCGCCACCCCCCCTTCTCCCCCCCCCACCACCGCTTCCCCCACTCCCACCACCGCTGCCTCCCAAAGAATCGCCTCCTCCTCCACCCCCGCCCCCTCCTCCCCCGCCCCCGCCGCCTCCTCCCCTCCCCGTCCCCACCGCCGCCACCCCCCCCACCACCGGGAACCCCACCCCCCCCGCCACCACAGCACCTGCCTCCCGCTGCCGGTCCAAACCCCTGGGACTGGGCCGCTGCCAGCCAGGTCAGTGCATACAAAGACGTGGCGGACCTCATGAGGGACCGTGCTGCACGGCCCGGGAGGTGTGCTTTGATCCTCCGGGGCCTGCCCGGGTCAGGGAAGAGTGCCGTGGCCCGTTTGATCCGCGAGGCGGAGAAGGCCGCGGGGACCGACCCCCCGCGCATACTGTCCCTGGATGACTACTTCCTGACGGTGGGTCGGGGGGCTGACAAACCCAGGGGACGCCTCCCATGGGCAAGGGTGGTGGAGACAGGGACAGCGGACGATTGCATCTCTAGCAGCGCAGGGGCAAGGCATGTGTGCGGCAGGTTGACCTCAGAGTGTGTATTGCATGGCCGCCGTTGCCGTCTGCCCCAGTCCCAGGCCGGTTTGATCAAATTTGTCCTCGCCAGGAGGTCGAGGAGGAGGTGGCGGGCGGCAAGGGGCGCAAGAGGCGCAGGGAGGTGACTGGCATGCAGTACCAGTATAACCCCGACTTGGAAGGTGAGTCCCAGAGGGGTGAAAAAGAAGGCGGTACAGGGGTGCCCGGGCTAGCCTCTCACTCGCAACCTCCGGGGAGCAAGCAGACCGGCTCGGGAGCAGGACAGGCACGATGGAAACTTGGCCATGACTCCGCACCGCCACCTCGGTCTTTCATATCGATCAGGCACGTACCAGCGCAGCCTGAACCGATCGTTCTGCAAGGCTGCAGTGGAGGCCCGCCACGCTTTCCTCATCATGGACGCGCCAAACCTGCGGCTGGCAGACTTCCGGGAGGCCTGGTCAGGGGCGCAGGCTGCGGGGTACGAGGTGTGGGTCGCCAGCCTGCCGCAGCGCAGTGCACAGGTGCCGGGGGCCGGTGTCAGGCAGGGCCCGGATGCTGGCATGCCGCGGGGTGCGCAGGCTGCACCCATCGTCATGCTCAGGCGGTGCGCCCATCGTGGGACAAGGCGACGGCTGTCCTGGCAGCTTCACAGCCCGTGCTTCCGTCAACCTGTCGCCCCGGACCCCACCCCTGCATCTCTTGCACAGGTGTGCGCCAAGCACAGCACCCATGGGCGCAGCCTGGAGGAGTTGGAGCAGCTGGCGGCGGGGTGGGAGGAGCTGCCGCCCGGCTTCCAGCCCATCTCGCTCCAGCGCTTCATGTTTGGCGGCGGGGAGGTCGCTGAGGTGGAGATGGAGAGCGACGAAGGGCCAGACCATGCCGCGGCCCGGGGTGATGCCGGGGCGGGGGCTCGTTGGACGCGTGGCGGCGGCGAGGCCGGACAGATGCGCGAATCCGTGGAGGGCGCGGCTGGGGGAACGGTAGCTTCGCCTGAGGCCGGCGTAGGTCTGGAGCCGGCAGCCCAAAAGGCCGCCCCACCTGGCATCCTGAAAAAGGCAGGGGCGTTGCCGCGGAGGAATCGCCATGTGGTCTGGGCGGATCATGCGGCGTCCCTACTGGACGAGGACTCTGGGTTTCAGATGCCCGGGTCGAGACCGCAGGTGGGGGTGAAGCGGCGGTGGTTGTCCGGAAGTTGCAGGCGGAACTGGGGAGGGGAGTTCCACGCTGATGGCTTGCCATTGCACAGGGCTGCATGCCATCCGAGGAAGTTCTTGCTGCAGATCACGCTCTGAATCCCCGTAGCGCTTCCCCTCAAATCCCCTTGCATCGCTCCACATTCATCCAGTTGGAGCACGTAAGGGTCCTGGAGGGTCTGGGACCGGCGCACGAGGGCGACGTCCTTGGAGCAGGGACGCTGCCGTTTGCCGAGGCTGCAGCACGAGAGCACAGCGTGGAGCGACGAGGCTTCCGTGACATCCTGCTGGGGCATGGGTCCATGGTCGGCTCTGGGTAGGTGGGGGTACCCTGCGGATGTTGCATCCCGGAGTCGAGCCCCGAGTGAGGTGAGGAGCAGGGTGGCGCAGGAGGGATGTCAGTATTTGTTGGCTGACAGATCTTCTGTTGACAGCGGGCATGTGAAGTTTGGCTTCCATTGAATGGACCCTCCATGCCCTGCGTTGAGCAGCACGACAGCTGCAAACCCATTGTTTACTGGGAATGTGACGAAAGAATGCTTGGCGCTGTGGTGCTGGCTTCCCGTCGGCTGGATTTTCGTTGGAATTCAGTCCTGGCCATAATTGCACACAGGTGCCTTGACCACAGGATGTCCGCTACTCCTTCGAATGTTTTGTAACCCAGTTGTAAATAAGCTCTTGCACCGATACGCGCCCCTGGAGCGTTGAATTTCAAATGATCGGGGGTACCAAGGATTTGAAAAGTATCCAGGTGGGGGCTATGGTTGGAGGAAATTATTCGTTTTAAGATCCCCATCGCCCGGAACCTCCGGCAGGCAAGACGAGCGCCGTTCTGCGATGATTTTGCCCTACCTGATAGAAATGTGCCACACTTAGCCCGGATTCTACATCATGCGTGCATCTGCTGGCACCCCGCACGGTGAGCCCCTTCCCCCTCCACCACCGGCTGATTTGATCCCGCACCCCCCCACGTCAGCAGCTGCCAGTCCTTCTAGGCCGCGGTGGACTGCGAGTCCGAAACCAGATAAAGTCCCTCTCCGCACCGGAATCTCCACACATTCCTTATGTTCGCAACTTCATAGCCTTTGAGAGTTATTCCGCGGGCTTAGCCCATGCGATAGAGAGAGTTAGTTAGTTGAGTGTGAGAGCCGAGCGTTGTACGAGAGTCAAAGTTGAACACCACACCTCCCGTCCCGACACTGCCCCATCCCCTCCAACACCTGCCAAGACCCACCGAACCACTCACGAGCATCATGTCTGCCTCCGCCGAAGCCCGTCTGATCCTCAAGGTGCGGAGCGGGGCCCTGCGGTTGGCGACCTCCGACACTTGGGACGCTCTGCCGCTCGCCCGTTTGCACCACCAATTCAACTTAATCGTTACTATATCCCTCGCAGTACTTTGGCACCGTCTCGAAGACGGTCTCCACGGTCGGCCAGCGTGCCATGACCGGTGCCGCGTCCGGCCACGCCTCGGCCAACGCGTCCCCTGTTGCCAAGGCCGTGACAGGCGCGGCGCCCGTCGCCGACCGCGAGGCCCTGCTGGCCTTCATGCGCGCCAACCCCGTCACCTTCTACCCCGCCCAGATGCGCATGGCCATGTGAGGTTTCGTGCGAACTTCGCGATGTCTGATACTTTTGAGAGCTTCTTCCACGGGGAACTGATCCCCCAAACGAGCGTCCATCCATCACAAGGCCTTTGCCATACACCGAGAGATAACTCCTTCTGAAGATACATTTTTGAGTGTGTGAGAGGCAGCGGGTACGCTGTGCCCGCTGTAGCACCTCCCTTTTGAGCGCCAAACATCAACCAGATCCTGGTGTCCATCCCATGTCCACCTGCTGTGTGCCTTGCGATGTAAGCCAGTTCTTGGGAATTCTCAGGATAATTGAGGAGCAGGTTTCTGGGTGTCAAGCATCTGGTAAAAGTTGGACTGTAGAGGGTTGAATGAACACACAACATCCCAATGGGATTTGGTTCTTGGAGGTCCTCTCGTCAGTTGGCGCGGCTGCGCCCCTGCTTGGAGCTACTCCAAGGTCCCTGCCGGGCCTGCCGCTTGCTGGCTGGAGGGGCTTCGCCCCTCCCACCACTGCATGCCAGGGGCTCCAGCAGCATCCAGGCGTCCTGTAAGGGGGGAAGCGGGGAGGGGCAGCCTTCTGTGCTGCTGACGAGGAGGGACAAGGGCGGCCAGCTTGTGGTCTCTTCATCGCCAGGATCAAGCTGCCCAAACACCCGCCTCGCACCTGGAGCTGGGGCGTGGGCATGCCCCGCAGCCGCTCCGCCCCCAGGACCTGGAGTGGTGCAGACAGGTCCAGCAGCAGGTCCAGCCGCTCGCCGGCGGCGGCCTCCGTTGCCACGGGCGCAGAAGGGCCCCCAGGGCCGCAGCGCACGCAGCGCAGCCGCACGTATGCAAAACGGTGGCTGGCGGCCCGGCAGTCCCTGGGGCAGGCGTCGGTGTGCGCGCCGGGGTCGAGCACTTCGACCACTCTTTGGTGACAGGGAGATTTGGTTGGGGGAATGGCCGGTGGAAGCAGTCGCTGGGGCCCATTCAGCAGGCACCACTTGCAGGGCCCTCGATCACAGATTATGCAGGTGCAGTGCCAGCAAGAGGTTCTGCCCCAGAACAACCCACATGAGCGCACTTGCCGGCGTGCAGCCCTGCAGGAACGGTATGGCCCCCTGTCCCCTCGGCCAGCTCCTGCACAAAGTCCTCCAGCAGCACGACCGCCACCTAGCAAGGGGTGCGGAGGATGAAGGCTTGTATCGGGACTTGGGAAAATGCGACGATGCAGCGTGAGTCACTGTCCAGTCCAAGAAACGCTTTGCGGCGATGCAAGGAGTCCTAGATGGTGGGAGATTCACAGGATGGCAGGCGAGCGCGTTCCGGGCTTCTCGAACGCTGCCCACCCACCTTGCGGCCCAGCAGCGCGCCATCACATGCATGGGCGCTGATGCAGGAGTGGCGCGCCAGCTCCGCAAGCCCCCGCTCCAGCCACAGGCGGGGGCGGTGGGTGGCGGGGAGCGGGGCATGGGCCTGGGGGGCGGTCTGAGGCGCGCAAGGCGAGGTGGATGGTGGATTGCCAGTGACCTGCGCCCAGTGACCTGCTGCTGCAAGGGACGCAGCAGCTCTGGCAGGTGGCGACCCAGCTCCAGCCGCCGACACTGGTGGGTCTGCTGTGCATTTGACGCTGGCGGGGATGTCACCGGAACCCCCCGGTGTCTGGCCAACGGTCTCTGCGGGCAGCCGCACCGTGATGCGCTGGAGCGGCAGGGGGCAGCAGCTACACGCTCCTGAACTCAAGGCGGCGAGGAGTGCGGGGGTGGGCGTGCCAACCCACGGCAGCGCCGCCACGACGCCTGCGTCCAGGGCGAGCATGCTGGAGGAAAGGGGGGAAGCGGCATCACCTTGGCCCTTGCCCGGCATGACCAGGGCCGATCCGGGCAGCCGGTCCAGGATCTCCCGGCGTGTCGGTTTGTTGCCTTGGGAGATCCCATTGATGCTCAGGACCTGCGAGGCCCCAGGTCACTTCTTAAATATAGTTTGGCAAGGAACATCATCCTCCCACCAGCAGAAAAGACATGCCCTGGCCACCTCCCAGCCGCGACCCACGCCCAAATCCTCTCCATACTTCTCTACATGATTCATAATGCCATCCAGCTGCCATGCAAACCTGCTTCAGGTCCTGCATTCTCAGCATGGACTGCTCGAGGGGGTTCAGGATCTTGACTCTCCCAGTGTCATGAGTGAGGAGACTGTAGTGCTCCAGGTACCTCTCCAGGGACATGGAAGAGCATGTGGCCGATTTACTGCCGATTCGGCTGTTTTCATGTCCTTGGGAGGCTGGGGTGGGCTGGATGGGCAATCCGGGGGCCGCTCGAGCCGGTGATTCCCATGCTCCATTGTTGGGCGTACCGTCCGCCTGTGGGGTCAGGGCATCCCAGCAGAAGGACGATTCCATGATCATGACATGCTTAACAATGTCTCTGTTGTACCCATAATAACTCCTGAGTGGCGCTGATGTACGAAGGCCGTCTGCAAGCTCAGTTCGAATTTCCTGGCAAGAAGTTGTTACGCTCGGCGTTCGCGCGCCCAAACCATGGGCCCCGTCCGACGTTGTGCGACCGAGACTAACAGCGGAGGGGGTGCCGGGGCAAAGCCTGGTGCATCACTGGCCTGCCCACATGGCCCATCACTGTCTATGTTGGGTATGGAGGCGCACTGACTGGCGTGTGCATTGACATCGCAGTCCCGACATTGGTTTCGAGTCATGGTCACTCTCAGCGTCCAGGCTCCCGTCGCCCCCCATGCCAACGGCGTCGCGCACGACGGCCTCTACCGCCTACAATGCAAGGCGCAGACATACGCTTGGGGCCTTCCGATGGACGAAAGCGAGGTGGGGTCCGAACGAGGGAGTCTCTCTGAAGTCCCTGCGGGACGAGCAGTTGTCGTCCGCCTGCATCGGATGGCACCCACACCACCGCACCGGTTCCTTGACCAAGTTCAACGGGTTGAGGGTGGTTCAATGTGATTGGGGGACTCATGCATGCTTCGGCAACACCCCTGCAGGTGGCCAGACTGTGCCTGGCAGATGGTCAAATGCTCGACCCCTCCCTGCCCTACGCTGAGCTGTGGTGCGTGGGTTGGCGTGGAGGGCTCGATTGGTTCACGGGTCTTGAGCTTGGCACTTTGACAGTCAATTGCTGGAAGTGTGGTGGGACGTAGTTACCATGGCACGCTGCTAGATGGTCAGTCTGAAGGGTGCAGCCACCAGCCGGCGTGCGGCCAGCCACGAGCTCAGGACCCCACCAGCTTTGCCTGACCCATGCCATTGCTGCCCAGGACCTTCCCTCACCCCTCCATCTATCGTTTCTGCATCGTCCTCAGGATGGGCACCCACCCCAGCGCCCCCTCCACCCTGGCCGCCCCCTCCGGCCAGCCGCTGTCTGACCTGCTGCAGCGCCATCCCGAGCTGCTCGGCGCGGCGGCGCCCGCCTTTGGCATCCGTGGCCTGCCCTTCCTGTTCAAGGTCCTGTCCATCGGCTCCGCGCTGTCCATCCAGTCCCACCCCGACAAGGCCCTGGCGGCGCGTCTGCACGCCGAGCGCCCCGATGTCTACCCAGACGCCAACCACAAGCCGGAGATGGTGCTGGCGCTGACGCGGTGCGAGGCGCTGTGTGGCTTCGCGCCGGCCGAGGAGCTGGCGGGGACGCTGGCTGCCGTCCCCGAGCTGCGCGCGATGGTCGGCGAGGCGCGCGCCGCGGCATACGAGGCCGCGCGCTCGCCCGCCGCGCGCGCCGCCGCCCTGCACGCGCTCTTCTCGGCGCTCATGGCCGCGCCGGCGGGCGCGGCGGGGGATGCGGTGGACGCGCTGGTCGCGCGCCTGCGCGCATTGGAGGAGGGCGGCGCGGGGCGCCATGCGCGCGATGCGCTGGCGCTGCATCTGGCCGCGCAGTACCCGCGCGACGTTGGCGTGCTGGCGGCGCTGACCCTGAACCACGTCACGCTGGAGGCGGGGGAGGCGCTGGCCCTGCCCGCCAACCTGCCGCACGCTTACCTGGCGGGCCAGGCGCTGGAGGCCATGGCCGAGTCGGACAACGTGATCCGCGCGGGGCTGACGCCCAAGCTGCGCGACGCCGCCGTGCTCTGCGCCTCGCTGTCCTACGACCAGGCGCGGCCCGAGGTCCTGCGCGGCGAGCGGTGCGGTGGTGACGTCGGCGCCGGCGAGGCCAAGGCGGCGGGCGAGCACGGCCTGCGCAGGTACCGCCCCTCCCAGCCCTTTCCCGAGTTCGAGGTGTGGACTGGGCGCGCTGCGCCGGGGACGAAGCTGCGCCTGGCCCCCGCGGCGGGTCCCGCCCTGCTCCTGGTCAGGCGCGGGGAGGCGCGGGCGGGGGCACGCCGCCTGGGGCCCGGCCACGCATTCTTCCTTGCGGCGGGCCGGGGGATGGACCTGGAGGTGGCCGCTGGGGGCCAGGACCTGGAGATCGCCGCGGCGGCCTGCAACGGCATGGGCTTTGGCTCGGGCGAGGCCTAAGCTGTGCGCCCAAGGGGGGAAAGCACCGAGCTGAAGGGAACACACGTCCTGCGGCGCAGCCCCGCCCAGCATGGCGCGCCCTTCGGCAGTAGTATGGCGAGGACCAGGGGCCGTGTGGCAGGGGCAGCATCTCCAGGGCCCTGGCATTCCAAACCTGCCTGCCTGCCTGACGATGTTGTTTCATTCCCGGTAGAATTTACGTCAACCGAGAAGGCTTTGGAAGGTACACGTGAAATGGCATGCGTGCCTAATATAAAAGCCACTTGCAATGATACTCAGTGTTGAGAGAAGGAGATAGGCTCGGGCGGCTCTGCCTAGAAGATGGCGGCCATCGCTTTTGCACACCACTGTCGCAGGGTCGAGAAGATGGATGAGGGCGCTTGGCGCTCATCCCCCCTCCCCTCGCCTGCCACGTCAAACTCGGTGCTGTAGCCCGAGAATCGGTGTGTCCACCCAAATACATGCTTGTAGTCGCCCTGGTGGCCTATGCGGTACCGTCCTGGCGTGGTACCATTGGGGATGATCCAGGTGATGGTCGCAAAGGACTCGGATGATAGCGACCGATGCCTGCAGGGGTTGGGGAGGGCAGTGGGAGGAGGGAATATGTGTGAGAAGTATTCTTCATGCTTGGCCACGGAATGTTGGGGTGGTGGGTTGTTGGAACAGACGAGTGGATAATGAGGATCAGCTTTAGAGTAATCTGCCGCGATAAAAACTCAGCACCATTCCCCACGGCAGAATCGAGCGTGTGGCAGCTCCCCAATGCAAGGTGCATGGAGGCAACGCAGCATGAATCGGCCTGGCCTTTACAGGGCTCAACATTCGTTGGGCCAACACCCACCACACTACCTTCCAGCCCTACCCTCACCTGCCCCAGGCAAAGCGCGTCTCCCAGTCGTCATCGGTGGCCACCACCTCCCAGCCGGCTCCCTCCCGTGCCTGGCGCTCCACGGTTAAGAAAGTACCACCGCGCCGGATGTTATTGCGGGGGCAGGCCGACTGGAACACGACCCGGACCTCATCACCCGGCAAGAAGCTGCGCCCAGGCTCCACGTCCTCCACCGCCCTGCCATAGTCGCTGCCTGTGCTTGGGCAAGGGTGAGGGCGGGCGGGGATGGGGCTCTGGAGATTGTCCAGGGGAAGGCTGGGCGGTTTGGCGCGCCCAGGAGGCTTATTCTGCGCCGAGCCTGAGGAGGCTTTATAGAGACCACCTCTCCGCCCCCTCCTGCATACCCCACGGCACGCTGTCGGTGACGACGGGGGGCACCAGCGACCACTGTTTACTGAGCAGGTTGGGCGGCCGGGGCTGGTCCTCTGTATTCAGCGGAGCGCCGTCGACCATGTCCTTTGCCAGGCTTTTGAACTCCTGCGCAGGTTGACCCAAGCGTTGGGGAGGAGGGTGAAGCTGAGGGGCCAGGTGGAGGCTGAGCTGAGGAGTCAGGGTTTGAGCCAGCACGAAATGCTCTCAGTTCGCGCCCACTCCTCATCCGCAGGCACTTGCCAGGACACCCTCCCAACCGGACCTCACTTCCCCTGGGCCCCCTTTTCCCGCTTTCCAGTTTCACCTGGATGTATGCGTCCAGGGTGTTTGGCCCAAAGAGCGTGAAGCCGCCCTCGTACCGCTGCGCCTGGTACTCCTCGAACGTGGTGACGTAACTGGCATAGGTGTTGGTCAGCCCGGCGATGACCACGGTCAGGTTCTTGCCCCAGGCCTCACCAACCTGTCGTGGATGCGAGGGTGTGTGTGTGTGCAGAGGGGCTCGCCAAACCTCTTTGCCCCTCTGTCTCAGGAGGAGCTGAGACTGCAGGGCGCGACGCGCTGTCGCCCTGTCGTTCAACAGATGGAACACTGCCGGGCTGCCCATCGCTCCTCCAACCCCCCCCACTCCCAGGCTACGAGAGCAGGAGGCCAGGCCCGCGCCGACCCTGCTTTCTATTCACCCCACCGGGGGGCCCCATGCCAGAGGGGGACCTCCCGACAAACACACTGAAGCACTCTCCCAACCGCACCGTGTCCCGGACGGCGGCACGCAGCCGCCGGCCCGACATGGTAGTGAACTCCCCCGGCACGGCCAGGATGGCAAACTGGCCGGCGCGCAGGATGCCGATCTCCACGATCGCAGGCGCCCAGTCGTAGGGGAAGTGCATGTCGCCCACGTCCAGGAGGATGGGCTTGGGCGCGTGGCACGCCATCTGCTCGGCGCTGGGTTTCTGGATGAAGTTGCGCACCAGGCGCCAGAAGGCCGTGCCGTTGGTGTCCGACTGCTTGAAGTCAAAGGCCCCGGGGCCGTCGGTGGTGCCGGCGGCAAAGGCCATGCCCATGGCCGGCTTGCAGGCCACCCCTGCGCGCGTGTGGGGGCTGGCCGCCACCACGAGCCCGCGCATGTCCAGGAAAGCATGGCGCGACTGCACGGCCCCAGACACTGCGGCGATGGGGCAGGGGAGGGGGGCGAACTGGCGATGCAGGGTTTGGCGTGCAAGTGTCGGTGGGCACGCCAACTCTCACCCGCACCGGCGTCCTCCACTTGCGCGCAGCGCAGCGCGGCACGCTCAAGACCCCTCGTGGAAACCCCGCCCACACAACAACGATCTCACACACCCTGCTCGCCCTCTCGCTGCATGAGCTCGTGGGCCGCGTCGGCCTGCTTCCGGGCGATGACGGCGCAGGAGGCGATGTTGTCTGGCCAGGCGGGGCCCCGGCCGATGCACTCGGCCACGCGGCCGTTGCAGGTGGAGTGCACCGCGTCGCACGGCTCCCTGCCGAGAGCAGGGGTCGGAGGGGTGGGGAGTGAGGGGAGCTGCGCTGGCCGCGCTCCGCTGGGCGGCAGCTCCTGGGAGGGGCACTTTGTGCGTGCATGTGCCTGGAATCTCGCTCTGCGCCCGCGCCCCCCACCGCCCCCCCCCCCTACACAAATCCCTCACCCCGTGTCGCGACAGCGCGGTCCCAGCGTGTTGGGGCTGGTGTCCCCCACGTTGGCCTGGCAGAAGGCGGCCACCGTGCCCGGCGCCCGCCGCTCCAGCAGCTGCGCGGCCAGGCCCTTGTTGTCGCCGTTGACCAGCGTGTTGGTGTTGTTGACCGAGGTTCCGTGCACCGGAAACCAGGAGAAGACGGCGCGCGGCTGCGCGGTGGCGGCGGCGTCCGCCCCCGATCCGCGCGCCGCCAGCACCGTCATCTCCTTGTCGATGTTGTGGCGGTACCTCGCGCGCTCCCCCGCCGGGTTGTGCAGGTAGGCGGTTGGGGAGCGATTGATGTTGGCGCCCAGCACCTCGCCCACGGCCACGTGCAGGGAGGCGGGCCCCACAGACTCGTGCGCCGACTCGATGGCCTGATGGTGGGTGGGAAAGTGGGGGCGCTGAGGTTTTGGGTAAAGGTGGTGTGCATCGCAAGAGGATTTTTGGGAGCGTTCCAGGCTTCAACCAGAGCGAGTCACCCCCACCACCGCCCGTCAGCTCTTGGAAATGGCTGTGCTCTCCTTAGGCCGAGCATTGCCAGCACCACACATCGCCGGTGTTCCCTGCTCATACCGCAGCCGACACACTCTCCAATCCCCCAACCCCCCACCAACCCACCTCCACGATGCCGTCGACCAGGGCGTCAAAGGAGGGGGTGTAAAAGCCCAGGGACGATATGCCGTATATCAGGTACTGCAGGTACCCCGAGGGACCGGAGTGGGTATGCGTGCCGCTCATGGCCACATTCTGTTCGGTGTACTGCTGTCCGTACCGCTTCGCGAGCCTCTCCAGCACGGTGAAAGTGACGGCCTGGGAGGCCATGCACGCGTCCAGGTTGATGAACACCCAGCGCTGCCTGTGGGCGTCGGAAAGTGGAGATAAGGCCAAGTCGGGAGGGGCGTTGAAGGGGGAAATGGGGTTTGTCGTGTGGCAGCCCAGGACCAGGCTTCTGAGCAGGCATCACCACCACACTCACTTGGGGTCCTTCTCATCGGCGACCAGCAGGGCCCTTGCATACAGGCGATTGAGGATCCCCCCTGCAAATTGACTGGGGTTGGCGTACCCCTGCAGCAAGCGACAGGGGGGGAGGGATGCTCAGTGTGCCTTTCCGGCATGGAGGGGGAACTTTTGATCTGGCGATGCGAGTCGATGCTCCACCATCATTCGCCGCTGATGCTGCCAGTGCTCACCATAAGATTGACGTCCGCCACAGGGCCCGTGATGTCGGCCTTGCCTGCAGGTGTGGATTGTGGGTCCATGCGCGTGTTTAAGGATCGACATGCAGAGGCTTCGCCCCGATCAGTCTCATAAAATCCGAGCTTGCGCACCTGTTCCCACCAGATAGCCGGCCTGAGCGCATCCTATGATGCATATCAGACATACCGACACCCCCGGGACGACATTCATCGCCTGAGAGACTCTCCGGGACCACTGCCAGCTCGGGCGTAGAAGTGATCTAGGCGTGCGAGAGCGGCAAGGCGATGGTACCCAGGACGAGACCAGTATAATGGGGTTGGACGTGAAACATGTAATGGGATGCACCCAATATCCCTTGCATTCCGGAATCTGTACCAGCGTGACCGTATTAAAGCGGCCGGGGCGGGAGTCGTCACGGAAACGAGATTTTGGCGCGGGTCATTCCCAACCTCCAGACTGTCACATCCCGTCATGGAATGCGGTACCCAGGGCTATTTTCTTCGCAACGAGACGCATTACTGGCTCATCTTACCAGGAAGGCACAGCTGTGTGGCAATGGTGAACCCTTGTGCGGATTAATGTTAAACGGGGAGCTGCATGGCCCAGACTCCTCATGGGAATCGCTTGAACTTGGAGAAGTCTGGCTTCCTCTTCTCCAAGAACGCCACTTTGCCCTGGTGCAATAGCAGGAGGAATGGTGTGGTCCATGTTCCGTAAGCTTGGGGGGGGCACCCATCGTTACTGCCCCCAGTGGTGTCTGGGTTCCCAGACTTCACAGTCCCACACTCATTTCACCACCCCTTGCACCCAGCCCTGCTCCTCCACACCTCCCCCCACCTCCTTGGCCTCCTTGGTCTGGTAGAAGAGCAGCGTGGCGTCCCCCGCCATCTGCGCCATCCCCGCCGCGCCGTCCTCGTCGGCGTTCAGCCCCGACTTGAGCACGCGCAGCGCGGTCGGGCTGTTGGCCATGATCTCCCGGCACCTGCTCCGGGTTGGGGATGGGTGCATCGCGTTTGGGGTCGCGTGAGGTCCACGGCGGCTCGAATGGGGGATGGATGCATGGCAGTCACATGCACGCCCAGCTGACGCCTTGTTTCGGCAGGGAGTGCAGTCTCACAAGCCTCACTGACCCACTCCATGGCCGTGGCATGCGCCTCCTACTACGGGCACACCCCACCCACCGCCTTGGGAGTTCTCCTGCCCCTCTCATATCACAAAGGGCAGTCCCCTAGCATCAACCCCTGCCGCACCAGGCCAGGGTCTCGGCCTCCAGCTGGTCCAGGGGCACCACGGCGTTGACCAGGCCCCACTCCAGCGCTGTCTGCGCCGGGTAGAGGCGCGCCAGCAGCCAGACCTCACGCGCGCGCTTCTGGCCCACCACGCGGGCCAGATGGGAGACACCGTACCCGGCGTCAAAGGAGCCCACCTTGGGCCCGGTCTGGCCAAAGACCGCGTTGTCGGCGGCGATGCTGAGGTCGCAGAGGAGGTGGAGGACGTGGCCGCCGCCTACCGCATAGCCCGCCACAGAGGCCACCACGGGTTTTGGGCAGCGCCGCAGCGCAATCTGCAGGTCCAGCACGTTCAGGCGCGGCACGCCGTCGGCACCGACATAGCCGCCGTCGCCGCGGTGCGCCTGGTCGCCGCCGCTGCAGAAGGCGGCGTCGCCCTCGCCTGCGTCGTTGTGTTGCAGAGGAGGGGGGGGGGGGAGGGAGAGATGGATGGCGGCAGGCGTGCTCAGAGGCAGTGAGGATGGAGGACGGGCGGCGAGGGACACACTGGCAGTGGCCGGCTGAGCGGGCGAGGCCGACGGGATGGCATGTGAGCGATACCCTCCATGCGGCGACCAGGGCATCGGCTGGCTAGTCAGCACATGAGGGCCAGCCAGATCCCTCTTTTTATGACTTCTGCATCTCCAAGCCACCCCACGCAGAGACAAAAGGGATACAGGGTGCCAGCCGCCGCCCGGTTCCCACCGGTGAGGATGATGACGCCGACAGCTGGATCGTCCTGTGCGTCACGGAGGCACAGCCCCATCTCGTGCACTGTGCGAGGGTCATGGGAGGAGGGTGAAGGCGTATGCTGGGACTGAGGAGCAGTGCCATTTGTCTTGGTACTGAACTGGGAGGCATGCAGCCAGACTGGGAAGTGTGCATCAATGCACGCACCCCAGCACACCTGTGAGGGGCGTGAAGGCATTGCGCCGCTTGGGGCGGTTGATGCTGATCTGCGGGGAAAGAAGTTGAAGGCACCGGGCATGTTTGGCCCTCGTTGCAGAGTGGGCACAATCAGATTCACGCGGTCCTCCCATGAAGCCGCTACTCCATGCAGTCCCTCGCCTCCTTCCCATGCCGCCACCCCTGTCGCCCAGCGCGCCAGGCTCGGCACACTCACCCTGGCGATGCCCTCTCCATCTGCCTTCTTGTACAGAGTCTCCTTCAGCTGCACGCCGGCCACCATGGGGATGGAGGTCCATGCCGCAGGAGCCCGTGATCCCCGTCCATGCATGCGCTCATAGCTGCTGGTCGGCGAGGGGCAGATGACAGCCCGCGAGCCCAGCTCGGCATTCGGCAAGGCATTACAGGATCCCAGGGCTTCTGAATCTGCCGGGATGTGGCCACATGGTGCTCCCTGACCCTGCGCGATATGCCGAGTCAGAACCGCGAGCCGCTGGGAGGCTCGCCCGTCGTCCATGCCGAGCACCCAATCTCCGGCTGGGATGACAGATGAGTCCTCGGGAGGGATGGGGCTCGAGACAGTGTGCTTTTCCTGTCCCGAGGGAACCGCTTTGCGACTTGTGTCACTCATGACAACTGCCGGTTCATCATGGCGATTTGTAATGGAAAAGGGGATGGGAGGGGGACACCCTTGTAATGTTAGAAGGGGGTGGTAGTTCTCAGGCAACAGGGAAAGCTGTAATGTCTGGCCAAGGGGTCAATCGCAATGAACGGGTGTACAAGGACAATATCGGACAGCGAAGAGATGGGTTTAATCAGCAGGGTTCTCACTCTCTGGTTCGCCTCGCCAGCGACTCTCCACACCACGATGTGTGGGGGTGGCCGTCTCATCCCCTGGCCGCAGCAGCCGCGGCCTCCAGGATGGGTCCCGCCTGCCTGATCATGAGCGTGATGTGTCCCTCGCCGGGGACGATCGTCAGCTGCGCGGCCGGGATGGTCTTGGCCCACCACTCGCCGTGCGCTGGGGGGACGCTGATGTCCTCCGCGCCGTGCCAAATGATGGTCCTGGGAGGGGGCGTTTGTGCAGGGGAATGACTCCCATTAGACAATGCGCTAGCTGTGCACGCCTTGGAGGGCCTTGGCGTGCGGGTGAAGTACTCGCCGAGGAGCTGATCCTCGGTTCGGGCCGCTCCCCAGAGGCGCACATCCCAGACCCTGAGCAGGCCTCACCTGCACTTGATCGTGCTCAGGTCCACGCCCCACTTGGTCCCCAGCACGCGGTAGTCCCGTGCCATGCCCCGCACGCCGTTCCGGTAGGCATGCTGTGGGGAGACGGGGGAGGGTCAGGGCGGCGAGTGTGTGCTCTTGCTGTGTCTGATTACTTGGTGCACAAGGCCCCGCCACAGCCGAAGCATGCAGCGCATGATACTGCGCAAAACGCAGGAGACAGTAGACCACAGCTGCGCAGGGCTATCCTGTGGGGCAGCCTGCACCGTCGAGCAGCGTGCGGGGCCGGGCCCACATGCTAGACTCCCCCCCCGCCGCGCTCACGGGCACCCCCGCGCTATGCCCTACCCTGCGCATGCGCTTGCCCACCCTCTTCCTCTTCCTCCCCTCCCCGTCTCCCTCTTCCCCCGCCCTCTCCCAGTTCCATGGCCCGATCCCCCGCCCCCTCGATCCCAACGCCTCACCGTGAGCACGCCCGCGAACATCTCCTTGACGCGGGGGTCGGTCTGCATCAGCTCCCCATCCACCTTGGCCAGCCCCTCGGGCGCGTGCTTGATCAGCGTCTCCGCGTGGTTGGTGGCCATGTACTTGAGGCCCCAGTTCACGGCCCAGAGCCCGCCCAGGGGCAGCTTGGCCATCCAGAAGGTGGTCTTGTCCATCATGCCCAGCGAGCGCAGCAGGCCGCGGTCGGGGCCGGAGGTGGAGGCCAGCGCGGCCATGAGGACCAGCGCGGAGGTGCGGTCGGGGTGCAGCGCGGCGCAGGCGGCGGCGTAGGGGCCGCCCCCGGAGTTGCCTATCTGGATGGCCCGGGGGATGGCCAAGGCGTCCATGAGGGCCAGGGTGTCCCCCGCCACGGTGGCCAGGCTGGAGCGGGAGCGGCGGGTGGAAGCCCCGATGCCGCACCGGTCCATGGCGACCAGGCGGATGCCGGCGGCACGGGCTGCCTCCTCCAGCGCAAGGCCCTCCATGTAGCAGGAGGGCGTGCCGTGGTGGTACATGGCCGTGAGGGTGGAGGGGCCGGGCTCCGCGCCCAGGATCTGGTACGCCAGCTGCCTGCCATCCGAGAGTGTGTGGAGCTGCAGACCGTCAGGGAGGGGAGGCAGCGTGCGCATCGCGCCGAGGGTGCGACGGGGGGGGCGAGGGGTTGCCGGGGGGTTAGAGCGGCCGGGGAGCCAGGACGGAGCGTCGGCCCGCCGGGAAATGAAGGGTATACTGCGCGATAAAATGATGCCTACACCCCTTCTCTCATTGCTTGGACGAGGTGGGTCGGTATCCGATTCCGAGGGAAGGGTTACTCGAGGCGTGGTTACGGGAGCAGGCTCAGCCTCGTACATCAGCTGCTGGGGTGCGGATGGGAAGTGCTCCCTCCGCAGATTACCGCATTCCGGGTCCCTGCGACCCACCGAACCGACTCCATACAACGCTCATATGACGTTGCAAGCCTGTTATTGCATTGATGACCCGCCGCGTGGATGTCTGTGTGGTTCGCCTGCTTGTTTACAGGGTGTCGGGCGGACCCTTCGCACGTTGTCTGACCCTCCAACGCTGCTCATTGTAACAATGACCACCGCATGTCCAAATTTAAGGTTTTGCTGTGCGCAATGTCGTCCGGGGTGGGACTTGCCTCTTTGAGCGGTGGCAGAGTGTGCCATGAGACGTTGGCCGTCATTGTCCGGCAATCTGCTTGGTGAGAAGTTGCTCATTCCGGGATGTTTGCATGATAGGGCTCTCCCGATGCACCACAAAGGGCGAGGCTTGCTGCGCACTCCATCAAGGATACTAGGATACCCGAGCCTGTCGTAGGTGTGGACGGAACAGACAACACCTGTACCTGCAAGGGTCCACAGCATTTCGAGACAATGGGGTTGCACTGCTCCACCTCAGGCCATCACACCGCCACGCGTTGCATTATAGAGGGGTGTCAATGACAGGCTGCACAGCACTGACAACAGAGGGCCTCAGGTGAGGGATAAATATGCACAATGGCCGGTCTCGCCAGCCCATGGGCCCCAATACCCAAGTGGGGAGCCTTTGCAAAAAGATGACAACCTCCCTGCGATCCAATGAGAGACATGTACATCCTGGGCAACACCTGATCCATCCCTAGTATGGTGCTGTAGGTCCTGGTGTCCAATGCCTGTACACCAACCTCACTGTCGATCACCGCTCAGGAGAAATTCAGAAACCAATATGTGCTGCATTCTGTGCTCAAGGAACGAAGCAGTTCCGTCAACGCTCGCTCTAAATCTATCCCAAGACTCGAGGAATTGGCGATAGTCCCAGCTTGCTGCTCTCGCCAAGCTTCAATGTGCAGCCATGCCTTGTCAATGCCCACAGGATGCTGGATTTCAGAAGCTGACGGACCTTGACGCCAGGATCAAGGTCGGTATGGTCTGCACAGCCAGGCACCTTGGGACGTGGGTCTGTGATGCGCAGCAAGTGTGCTGCCATGTGTTCCTCTCTGGTCAATGATCACACTCCAGCTTGAAAAACGAGCCCATCCACCATCTTGCCAGCCCTGTCCACTCACGCTCTCACTCGTTACATTCACTTGCATAGAGCTGAACTTCTGAGTATTTTGGCCTCCATGAAAGACGCAAATGTCACGACAGACAAAAACATGAGTCCCAGATGCAACGTGAGCTGCGGTGCTGCCCGGGAGGGCAGCGAGAATCTGCTGAAACACGACTGGAGGACCAGGTTCCAACACGGCCATGCATTTCTCGCACTCTACATCCTATCAGTTTGAAACTAAAGTGCATTCTTTTCGTCTCCATTGGATAAGAGTGAGGGGGCCTTGCGCAATCTGCGTCCCTCATGGGACCCAGACCAAGCCATGATGTCCTGGGTGGTAGTGGCAGGCTTGGGACAGGAATTCTCCCAAGATGTCACTATCTTTCACACTGTTATCAACGCATTGTCTCCGCAAGCACCCTTTTCGTACTTTTGGCGATTTCCTTGCCGAGTGGGGCAGGTTGGGAATCCTCGAATCAGGTGAGGACAATTGAGCACCCCTCGAGTACCGGAGGACGCGGGGACCCGGCAAGGTGGCGAGGCCTGAAGTCACCACCAGGGATTACTGTTGAGCTTGATCTGATATTTGTGCAACCCGATTACTCGAAGCTGCATGAGGTGCCAGAGGTTCGTCCCTTGGTGAGGACATGATAGATTCCCACTTGCCGTCATGATGCGGCTTCGTCCGGTAGGGGAGGCGATCTGTCCCGGTTGTCGCCGGTGAACCCTTTCACGACCCGGCTAGCAAGATGTGATACAGCAAGCGTGAACCTCATTTTCAATAACAACGCGGCTTATCGTGTGCCCTTTGGGGTTTGTTGCATCCATATCGCAATTGTAAAAATCCCAACTTTGCCAAGGGTTGGGGCGGACCATGCTGTCGCTAGGGCTGACACCCCACTGGAGCACGATGCTCCTCCTGCTGAGCCTTGGAGTGCTCTCGAGGGTGGGCGCAGATGATGATACTGATGTGCGGGACTCGTTTGTGAGGGAATGATTGACGACCCCTGCCATGTCCGGATGTTGACGCCCGCAAGTCCGACCCTTGTCTCTCAGCGCGAATGCACGACGAAGTTTTACCCACTCCCGGCAGTCACGTAAGAACACTTGACAGTTCCGGGTTTGTAAATGGCGACGCTTGCTCCGGAGAGTGCGGAGGCTGACGTGCGAGGGGCTGGGTCCGCTGAAGGGCGTGCGGATCGGGACTCTAGATCCTTTCCCATGGACGTCGTCATATCCCTCCGTCCTCGCACAGGCACGGGCCCCGTGTCTATATGCTGGACAACAGCAGCGCGGACTCCCTCTGCAGGTTTGTTGTGGACCCCATTACTAGCTTCAATTTGTCCTTCGGGTCCCCATGATCAAGCCCATGTTCCAAGCTGCTGGTAAACTCTTGCGAGAGCCGGTTTCCCATTCAATTCATCTGCAGGTCGGAGGGATATAGCAAGGCGGGTTCTACCCAAACAAATACTCTTGACGCACTTGGTCTCTCCGTCAGCGCCGTCAAGATGAGCCCCTTTGAGGTCATCACTGCACGGTCCACAACGATCATTGTGGCGGTTGAGTGCCTCAAGGCTGGACAAAAGGCATGCGCCGCGGACAGGGACGGCAACATTGGCACCGGGAACAAAGGGAAATACAATTTCGGCGACAACGTGGGCGACAGCAACATTGGTGAGCAGGAGGGAGAAGACCAACAGGTGGAACTGTGGTGATTTGCCAAACGAGGTGGGTTATAGATAAAATGATGCGCATATGCACAGCCTACACCTGCACGCATCTCTTGGCTCCCAATATCCAGGTAACTCAAACAAGGGAGACCTGAACTGGGGATTCAACAACAAGGGCACCAACCTACGGTGCAACAACGCGGTGGGAACCCGAAAAGGTCCCAACATGTGCGATCTGAAGGATCTTCGCAAGTCTGTAGTGAGAGACTTTAGCCCACCGCCGCCTCCACCGTCCAAAAGGGCGACCCCACCGCCTCCAAAGCAGACGACTCCCCCACCTCCTAAGAAGCCATCTCCACCACCTCCCAACAAGGCATCCCCACCACCTCCCAAGAAGGCATCCCCACCACCTCCCAAGAAGGCATCCCCACCACCTCCAGTGAAGACCTCACCCCCACCTCCAGCGAAGACCTCACCCCCACCTCCAGCGAAGAGACCCACCCCACCTCCAGTGAAGACCTCACCCCCACCTCCAGCAAAAGAACCACCCCCACCTCCAGCAAAAAATTCACCCCCACCTCCAGTGAAGAGATCACCCCCTTCACCATCGCCTGCGCAGCCCTTCACCCTGTCTCCTCCTCCACCCTCTCCGATTTACCCCTCCCCTTACCCCTTTTCTCCTCCGCCCTCCCCCCCTCCACCTTCTCCTTCCCCCCTCCATCTCCTCCTCCTCCATCTCCACCTCCTCCTCCCCCCGTCTTGCCGGTTCCCGTCTTCACCCTCACGATAAACGACAATAACACATACACTTTTGGTATCACTGCATCGGTCGCCTTCACTCGCTTCTTCATTGTTAAGAATGGAAAGACTGTATGGCTTGACAACATCGACCCTCCTGCCACCAGCTTCATTGACAGTCCTGTGCAGGTACACACGAGCATGACCGAGAACACATGGTATGGTGCTCTGAGGGATAAGGACAACAGACTATTCCCACAATCCAACCACATCACGTTAGTGGGGTGACAGGCGATTGCAGTGCTCTGTGAAGGCAACGCCAGTCGCGGCCACCCTCCCCCCGTACCTGTTGTGGCGCCAGACCTTGTGATATTGGCCTGTCTCCAGCAGAGCCTGCTGCCCGGCACCCTGCCTATGCAGCTGGGCTCACTGCAGCCAGGATTGGTGCAGAGCCCTGACAACCTGTTCCTAGTGGGAACCTGACAGATGACCCAGGTCCATCCCTGGTCTGCAACGACACTGCCCCTAGTCCTTTCTCGCGCTCATCACCCTGACTTGTGTAAGGCAAGCATCCACCGGCAGCCACAGCATACTTGCCAGGGCACTGTGCAGGAGGTGAGCCCACCCACGATTTACTCATGGAGTTCTGGACCCACAGATGTTGGTCCCGCCCTTCTCAATGTTGCTGGGTTTGGCAGCGGACAGCACCCACTCGACGAATTGTTGCTGTCCACCTCTCCTCACCCATATCTTCCTTGACTCTCTGCCACCTGTTGGCACACAGCGCCCTCCAGACACCTTCTTGGGACGATGGCACCCAATCCCAAGGGGACTTTGAAGGCGCTTGCACTCGATGCACTCCAGATCGTGTTGCGGAAGTCCACACCCTGCAATGCCACACGGCCCTCCCCAGCAGCAGGGCTGGGAAGATGACTGATCACATGTGGGTAATTTCAAGACAGCTTTCGGTAGTTACTCTGTCCAACGTGTAAGGGTCATCCCTGCCTGGTACAGTACGAAGCGGTCTACGTCCCCATGGTGGAGCAGAGATGGTCTCTGGTCCCAAGGGCTGTGGTGGTCTCCCAGTCCCCAAGGGCTCCCTCCTCGATAAAACGGAACCCATCTGGTGGTTGCACTCCCCTCACCACCAAGATGGGGTGCACACCGAGCCTCGGACGCTGTGGTAAGGCTGGAGTGCGCGATGAAGGTAGGGTCTCGGGAAGTGCGACATGGTACTGAGCAGATGGACGCACCTTACAGATCAGCAGGTGAACCACAGGATTGCTCAGGTTCCGCTAGGCAGATGCAAGGCACCGCATGGCCTGGATCAGAGGACCTCGGGACCGCAAAAACTCTGAGTGCGAGTGTGAATATTGTTGTTAAGGGGTTTATTAGGACAGGGTAGGCCGGAGTACAACTGTGTCGCCAGACGTCTAGCAGCTCAGCAAGTACGCATTTTTCCAACTCAGGCAGAGGGGCCGCCCTAGGAGTCTTCAATGCATGCAATACTGCTCATGTGTTTCATTCAATCGCTTTAATGAGGACTAGATGCCACATGGGTCGGCTGCGGAGGTGCTCCACCTGTCCATCGATGTAATTGTTTTCTGCACGGATTCTGCAGTATCAAATTGGATAGAGCTAAGATCTGGGCGAGCTGCTGCCTTATATCAAGGCCGCCCCCCATCAGGCGAACACATCGGGAATAAAGACTCAAAAGATTACCAGGATGATGCTCTCGGTTCTCTCCCGTCCAGCGCCCGTGGCGGTGGGACCCCGTCCCCAGCAGAGGAGGACGACCCGGGTGCATGCCGCTCAGTCCGAGCGTACCCTCTGGCTGCCAGGTGCGCATTCCATGTGCATGTTGCAGCTCACTTTGTGAAGACATCCAATCTTGGCACATGGCATGCATCGTCCTCGGGGGTTCCCCATGAGGTGGGGGTGGGTCACGGCATGACGCCTCCGAAATGGACACGAAATGCCAGAGTATCTTTGTCACAGGTGCGGGATCTCCCCCTCATCTGGACGGCTCCCTTCCTGGCGGTGAGTTTTCTCGACTGCCATGGAGTTGAGGTTGGTTTCAGCCGAAGTCGTCCCCAGGCACAGGTGTTGGATGTAAAATCCTACATACTGGGGAACATGACAACTACCCCCTACTCCCCCCCCAGACTTTGGCTTCGACCCCCTGAACCTGGGCAACAGCCCCGACCGCCTCAAGTGGTTTGCTGAGGGCGAGCGGATCAACGGCCGCTGGGCCATGGCTGCGGTGGCAGGAATCCTGGGCGTAGACCTCCTGGGCAGGCCTGCGTGGTTTGAGGCCGGGGCCCTGGTGAGTCTTCCTGGCTAGGCTGGCGTGTGAGGAACCTGATTTGCAGGGGTTGAAGGACACACGCCTGAAGAGTGTCCATCAGGCTGTGCTGTCGGTGGTGATGGTGTTGTGGCACCTGCAATGCAAACCTTGAAGACCTGTGCTTTGATACAGGGGTTCATTGCGTGAACCCACACCGATGGTATCACCACAAACCAAACTCACGTCCGACAGGACTACTGGATGCCGGCCAAGCCGCTCTTGGCCATCGAGTTCCTGACCCTGGGCTTCCTGGAGCTCAAGCGCTACCAGGGCTGGAAGGAGACCGGGTCCAGCGGCTTCCTGAACAGCTTCCCCTTTGACCCTGCAGGCCTGGACTCCCCCTCCATGCGGCTGAAGGAGATCAAGAACGGCAGGCTGGCCATGATTGCCTTCATCGGCTTTGTGGCCCAGGCGACCGTGACGCGGCAAACCCCCCTCCAGAACCTCACCGCGCACCTTTCCTCACCGTTTGATAACAACATCCTCACCTCTGTGGCCAACCTGCCCAGCACCCTGCCAGGCGCCTGATGCCGAAATGTGTTGCATCTGATTGTAAGCATTGCGGGGGGGTGCTGGGTGCATTGGACCCTGAGCATGTCGAAGTACGGAAGGACGACTGGTGGAGTGAGAAACCGTTGGTGCAAATGGCATCCGCCTAGGGATGTGTAGGTTTTGGAGGGTGATGCTTAGGATGGTGAAGCCGTGATCAGAAGATTTGACAGATTCCACATCAGCTACTGCGCAGCTGCTCCAAGGTGGGAGGTGATGTCAACTAGCCTCTTGACTTCTGGAAACGACATCGAGTACATTCAAACCACTCAGCGTCTATTTACCAAGATAATTAAAACGCCAAAGGCATACGCATCATCTCCGTTCGGAGCTGCCCGTTCACTCAATCCTGTGCCCCTGCCTCGCAAGCTATGCTCGCCCTACGGTCGTCCCCGCTAGGGGCTCATCGGAATACCAGCTTTACATCTAAAGGCGGTAGAGCAAGCCGTGTAGTTGTTCGCGCGCCCCACTCGAAGCTGGTGAGTGGCCCCGACGTCCCGCCTGTACGCGGCTGGGTTGCCCGTTGGCGACAGAGTGCACTCACCTCCATCTCTTGATCCACGTACCACGCCTCGCGAGTGCAGATCTGTCGCGCTGTCCTGACCCTTCCACGGAACGGTGCGATCTCGCGGCACTGGGAGAATGCCTGGAGGTCCGTGCTGGCCACCCCGGCAACCAATGTACTGGCCGCGGGCACCGCAGCGACGGCCGTGCATTCCATCCTGCACACACGAGCTGACTTCTTCCTCGAGATTGCAGAGGTGAGGTGGTTGGAAGCTGGTTGCCGGAAAGTCAAGGGCTCTTGCCTCCTCGAAGGAGGGGGGTAGTTCATCCACCTGAGCACGGGGTCACCCACTGTCGCACGCCTCGCAAGTTCAGTTTGCCCCCTTCCCATCTCTCAATCGTGTACAGAAGCTGAGCACCAAGCCCGTGGAGATGGGCATGGACTCGTGGTTGACGGGCCTGGCGCTGAGCAGCGCCCTGCAGTTTGCCATCTCCGCCGGCATCTCCTGCTTTGCCAGGGAGGTGCTGACGGGCGAGGACGCGCGGCCCTCCCCCGCCCTGCGCCGCGCGGCGGGCGCTCTGGAGGCGCTGCCCATCGACAACGGCCTGGTTTGCCGCTTCGCAGCCAAGGCCGTCTTCTTCGTGGCGGCCCAGGCCTTCATCATGCACGGCAGCAGCCCCGACGCGTTTGCCGCAGCCATCCACCCTTTCCAGGGCCTGCCTGTGAGTGTTAGGCAGCGGACACCTGTGGTTTTGCTCTGACGTGTGCACGGGTGGTCGCCCCTGTCTGTCGTCCTGGGGACGGCAGGGCATAGTAGACTTTTTGGCCGCACATCCTCACCCCCCATTCCCTTGGTCTCCACCTCTGAACCAATGCTTACCACTCTCGACCTGCAGGACATGATCCCCAATGTGGCCGAGGCGTCGGCATTCGTGCAAGCAGACGACATTCTGTCCTCCACGCTGCAGGGCCTCGCCCAGGGCATGTCTGGCCTGTGCCGCGCCACCTCTGGTGTGTTGCGGATGTTGTGGAGATGTGTTGCTGTCCCGGCCCCATCTATCAATGCTGGCGCACCTCACCCTGCCAGTCAGCACCTACCCTTGCACACACACGCTCCCCCCCCCCTCCCACCACCCCCACAGTCGTCTTGGATCGGGCGGCGAGCACCTCCCTGCAACGCGCCATGACGGCAGCGCTCGACACCGCGGCCTCCGGCGCTATCTGAATAACGTGCGGTCGGACTTCCCGACACAGGTGCTCGATTCCTGTGCCCCGTGGATCCCCCACGCTGCCCCCCTGAGCGTGCCCAATTCCGTGCACCCCCTCGCATAAAGCCTTTCAGGAAAAGATGTATCCCAGAGCGCGATGTTCTTCCAGTCCAGCAACTTTTCAATCGCGCCTCCTCTCTCCCTCTCTTTGCCCTGGAGTTGACATGCTCCCCCCTTGAACTCCCTGTACCCCTCCCAACACTGTAAATAGCCGGTTAGCTGAAGTGTGGTTCAGATACCCCAGGGGGATGACAGTGGCATGGCACGGTGCCGGCCCTGTTGCGCTCACGCCAGGTCCCCCTGGTGACGGGCACCCCCATCGGCCAGCGCTGGGAGCAGGTTCCGCCCGCCGTGCCGACCGCAGGGACTATGCATCGCCCCGCGCGCCGCCACGGCGACGCCGCCGCGCCGCGGCACGTCACTTCCAGAGCTTGCGCAGCGACATGTTCTTGTCCTTGTCTTTGCGCATGACCTTGGTCACGGCCATCTCCAGGTCCTCCTGCGTGACGTGTACGCGCCGTTCCCGCAGCGCAAACATCCCGGCCTCGGTGCAGCAGGCCTTGAGCTCTGCGCCCGAGGCCCCCGTCATCTGGTCCGCGATGCGCTTGAGATCGATGCCGCGCAGGAGGTTCATACGCCGCGAGTGGATCTTGAGGATGTCCAGCCGGCTGGCCTCGTTGGGGTTGGGGAACTCGATCTTGCGGTCAATGCGCCCCGGCCGCAGCAGGGCCGGGTCCAGGATGTCCATGCGGTTGGTGGCCATCAGCACCTTGATCTTGTTGGTGGCCTCGAAGCCGTCCAGCTGGTTCAGCAGCTCCAGCATGGTGCGCTGGACCTCGCTATCGCCGGTCCCGCCGCTGCCGTCGATGCGCGCGGAGCCAATGGAGTCCACCTCGTCCATGAAGATGATGGAGGGGGAGTGCTCCCTTTGGGTTTTTGGGGGTGGGGGTGGGGCTATTCAGATTTGTTGGAGAGGGGCCCAGAGTGAGGTGTCGAGGAGATCGATCCAGTTGCAGGCGCGGAGCGCCAGGGCAGCGGCATGACAGATGGCGGTGGGGGCCATGGAGAAAAGGCACGTGTGTGTTGGATGGTATCTGTTGATGCCAGCTCGTCGAGGGGGAGTGCAGCCGGGGAGGCAACCACAGTCAGGCACATGCGCCGGGCACCCTTCCACACCGGCCGCTCTCAACGGCGAAGGCTGCCCCGGGCCCAACACCCCTCATCACCCTCACCTGGCCATGACAAAGAGCTCGCGCACCATACGTGACCCCTCCCCAATGTACTTCTGCACCAGCTCGCCGCCCGACACGCGGATGAAGGTGCAGTCGGTGTGGTGCGCCACCGCCCGCGCCAGCAGCGTCTTGCCGGTGCCCGGCGGGCCCCAGAGCAGGACGCCCTTGGGCTGGGCGATGCCCAGCGCCTCGAACAGCTCCGGGTGTTTCAGCGGCAGCTCTATCACCTGTTGAGGGGTCAGGGATTGGGCTGGGATCAGCGAGGTGGATAGGAAGGAGTGGAGAGCGAGGACCTGCTGCATCGCACAGGCAGTCCTGCCTCTGTTCCTGGTGCGGACACCAGGCAGAACCAGATCCGTGTGTGCTTTAGGAATGGCAGTCTGAGTGTGCAACGCCAACCCTCCACTCACTAGTATCCCCACTCAAAACAGTCACAACCGCCGCCCCCCCCCCCTTCCCCCCCACACACGCGCCACACCACTCACCTCCTTGATCTCCTTGATCTGCTGGTCCAGCCCCCCTACCATGTCGTAGGTGCTGTCGGGCACCTTTTCCACCTTCATCAGGCTGACCAGGGGGTCCACCTTGGAGGGCAGCAGCACGTGCAGCGTGTAGGCGTCGTTGCGCAGCGCCACGCGCGCCCCAGGCGTGATGGTAGTGGGGTCGATCTCCTTGTCAAGGTCCACCACGTACTTGCCGTCGGGGTTGACCTTGACCAGCACCTTGCTCTTTCCCATGAGCTGCGCGGGAATGAGGATTTGCGCGGGTGGGGGGGCGCCCAGGAGCAAGGCAAGCTCCATGGCTCCCGGGATGTCCCGGCCGCGCGCCGAGTCCGGCCCACGGGTCACGCGACGGTCCTGCTCATCAATATCACGAGTTCAGGTCCAAGCTGGTGCGCAGCAGCATTCCCTCAGCGCTGACACCCGGCCTGCACCTTGATCACTTCCCCCACGTAGGATCCCGGCTCCTGCAGCAGCTGCAGCTCCTCCCGGAGCAGTCTAACTGCATGGGCTCATTATTACCATTTGATTTATTTGGATGCAGTGGATCAGCTACTCACAGGATCTCCCAGGCACCGCACGGCACCTTTGGTGTTGAGGTCGTTCCGCTGCGCCTGCATCCTCTGTAGTGCATGTTGCCTGTCCCTGATCTCGATCTCCAGGTCCTCTATCTTGGACGTGTAGTAGGCCCGAAGGCCTTCCCCTGTCGGCTTCACCATGGGCCCGGCTTCGAGAATTACAGAGAGCCCTTGCCTTGCTCTCAATATCTACCAGGGGTGGGGCACGACCACTTCACCACTAAGAAAGCGCGGATTGGTGGCACTCGGCTCAAGTCCAACCTCAACGTCGAGATGTGGCACCACTTGAAAGAATATTACAAGCTCGATCACATCTATGAGCCACATTGCAATCACAAGATTGCGTGATGCACTCCTCTGCCAGCAGAAAACGACTCCTTGGCACTTCAAACGTCATGTCAGGCCGGGGGCTCCACAAGCTATGCCTTGCATGCAGCTCAAAGTCCCACAACCACACCCCTTGAGGAAATCAGGCCTCTCCTCGTGCTGCCTTCTGCGCAGCCTTGGCTTCCTCCAGCAGTTTCCTGACCTCGCCTGGCTTGAGCTCTCCATGCTGCATCTGCCGCACCAGCCGCGTCGCCTCTGGCCTCCTCAGCAGCCCCTTCACATTCGGGAGCCCGGTTCCAAAGCACACGCCACAGACGCGCACACCCCTGTGTGTGTTGCTGGGATGCTCTCAATCTTGGTGCAGAAGGACTGCGTCCAGGTCCATCCCATGCATGGCAAGCCCACATGAGGATCACAGGACGTAATACATGTCCAGGCTGGCGACAAGCGGCCGTTTGGAGGGGCGACAACCCACTGGGTCCAGCAACCCTCTGGGTCACGCCACCCTCACCGCCTACAGGACCCCTCTGCCATGGACTCGCCTGCCAAAGCACTGCGGACACTCTGTGAACTGGTACGTGTCCTGTGCGCGCTTTCTTGTCAGCGCACGCCACATGCCCGTCCCTCCGCACATGTCGCAGGGCGTGATGCCTGTGCCAGCGCACTCCAGGCACCCCATGGGGCCTGGGATGGGGAGGGGAGCAGGACGCGGGGCGGGGGCTCAGCACCGGCCGGTGCCAGGGGCACCAGGGCGCACCTCAACTCGCCCCAGCACCCACCTTCTGTTGCATGTGCACTCTGCCTCTGGCTGTACACCCCGGCGAAAGAAGACGCCATGAGCAGCACCCTCCTGTTGGTGATGAGTGCGGGCGCCGGGACGCAGATGTGATCCTCCTCCTTAGGGGCGTCCTCATGGCCAGAGGATTCCGGGACGGCAGCTCTGACTGTCACGGGTCTTGGGCCTCGCGTCGGGCCTTTCCAGGACCTCACCTGCAAACAAGCGCATGACAAACTTTACTCGAGTGCAGGAGCAATGTCATCCATGCAAGCAGCGGTCGGTTGAAACCTACGATCACCCATGCACTCCTTTGTCGGCACCTGAGGCCCGGGGCAGGTCCCGGCCGGGAGACTAGCGAGGCCTTGAGCCCACATAATGTGAGGTTGGATTAATAAATTACAGTCGAGGTAACCGTCTGATACTTCTGTGGGAGGAATATTGAATCATCCTTGACGGACTCCATGCGGCCCCGCATGAATGGGGGCCGGATCAGGCAGGGGGCACTCGAGAGAGGATCTGCAGAGAGTGGTATCGCCAGCCACAATTCCAGCTGATGCAACTTGAATGGTATATAAAAACAAGAAGATACCTCACTCTTAAGCAATTGTTTGTTGGCCTTGACGACATATTGAGTTTCAGCCGAGTGACTGACCTGTTTTTCCCTCACTGCTGAGAATGACAACGCTATTCTCCCCACGAGACCCAGGACAGGAGGAGCTGTAGGCTATTTCAAAGTTTTTTCACAAAGAATCATCGAGTTCGAGACCGTCATGGGTGACCCAATATGCCCAGGTGTATCCTCAACTGATCTGGGAGACCCTCGTTGGGCGCGATCGATGCCAGGTCCCTGCGCGGGCGGAGAGGCCAGGCAAACACTCTCCATATATGCCAAGGATCATTGGAGTAATACTGTGGCGTCGTCTGCATAGTGCATCGGTCGGCTTTGCACCCCTACCTGTAACGAATATTTTCGCAACAGTGGCACCTAGGCTCTAGCCTCCGACATGTTGAAGGAGTCTCTTACGGTGCCTCGGTTTTGTATTTTTGTCTAAAAATGACAAAGGCTCGGGGCGCGACACGATGCTCGCCCCTGAAGGACGCGCAGAGGAGTTCATCCCACTCCGCCAGACTGTTCGGTGCCTTCAGCCTGACCCTGTTGGCATCGGTTGGCTACGTGGCACTGGTGGTATGTCGGCGGGGTGGATTCCTTACAAAGCATATCTACATCCTACATCCACACGCTCCACTGGACTCGACTCGCTTCCGTCCTGCCCCCCTCCGTTCGCAGAGGTTCGGTGGGGTTTCCCCCTCCCTGGCCATCGGCATGAGCCAGGGAGGACAGGGCGGCCCCCTCCCCCGCGGCCTAGGGGAGGTGTCCTTCACCTCCCTGAAGAACGTACCTGCCGTCTCCTGGCAGGGCGTAGCCTGGGAGGTCGTCAGCCTCCCCGCCGAGCTCCGCCCCTTCCTCAACGTGGACCTCTTCCCCGACCCGCCCGCCCCCGTCGCCTCCTGGGCCTTTGACCGCCTGCTGCGCCTGCGCGGGCCTGGCCTGGCCATCGGCGTGCACCTGGATCGCCAGGTGCTGCAGCGTGGGAAGGACGAGCCCCCCCCCGCCCCATGCAACCCGGGCCAGCTGGCCTGGGTGGCGGGCACCCTGCGAGGGGGCCCCTGCCCGGCGGTGCTCCTGCACAACTGCGCGGAGGCGGCGTGGGCGGCGGGGCAGAGGAGCTCGCGCGCGGAGCTGGTGCTGGCCGAGGAGGCCGCGGCTCGCGAGGAGGACAGCGTGTCAGCCTCGCAGGACGTCGGCGTGGGGATCGTACTGGACTGGCTGGCCACCTCGGACGTCGTCGCCGACTACCTCTTCATCAGCTTTGACATGTAGGGGTTGGGGGGCGTCCTCTGAATCTGGGGTGGTGCAAGCACAGCCCCGCCTGGCCCCGCAGTGGCTGACCACGCTGCAGGGCCGGCACTCTCTACAGGCACGGAAAGCTCAGCAGGGCCAGTTTGTGAATGGAAGCCATCCTTCCCTCCCAGCACACGTCTGTTGCCGACTGGCACCCACCCATCCACACCCTGCAGGCAGAGGCATGTCCCTGGCGACCCCATCGCGTTCATGCGGGCGCAGCCAGGGAGGGACCTGTTCCTGGCCTCTGGCGCGCCAGACGAGCTGGTGCGCCGGAGCTCATGCAATGCATGGCTGTGCACATTATGCAGAGACTTGCCACTGGCTTTCTTGCGGCGCGTAGGTATTTGGGCACGTCACGGCGATCAGCTCACACCTTCACCTTCCCCCCCCCAACCCCTGTGCCTTCCCAGTTTGGGGCCAGGTACCGGATGTGCTTTGGCGGGGAGCAGCCCCCCATGCTGCCCCAGGGCCTCAACCGCCCGGAGCTGTCGCTGGCCTACATTGGTGGCCGGACGCACGCCGTCGTCCGCGTGCTGCAGCGCATCCGGGCCGTGCTGGAGAGTGCGTGGGTGGAAGGAGTGGAGGGGCATAGGGCACCGTTGTGCCTGTGACAAGGCTCCAGATGAGGGTTGGCGGTCTGGCACCAGGAAGACGAGCCTCTTCGCGGCACCCCTTCACCAGCCCCTCACCCTCGCTCGCTCACCATGCGGCCCCCGCTCAACACCCCCCTGCAGCGCTGGACCGCCCGACCGCACTGCACAGCAAGCTGGACTGCACCGGGCCCGCACTGCTCTGGGTGGCCAACCTCACGCTCACCGGCTGAGGGGTGTGTGGCTGGGCCGCCCTCCCTTTCCCCCACCCGCCTCCCTGCCATGAAACATGTGGGCGTGGCCCCTGCCCTGCTGGGACTGTCCGGTGCTCTGCGACGTGAACGACCACCACATGCACCTATTCATTGGTGCAGGGTGGATCAGCATCTTCCCAGCTGCTCACTCTGGACCCACTCAGGCCACTCGCAGCAGTCTCAAAAGCGCCCCGCATCAGCAAGCCCGCGCCCTCTTCATGTCTTCCAATGTCCACGCGTGCTCTGAGCTATAATGCAGCGCAGGCAACTGCAACACACAACGGGAGGGATGCTCCACAAGACGATTCGCAAATCGGTCCGAGCTAGGGTCGCATGCTTGCCCGGCACAGCGCCATGGAGGCTCAAAGGGTGTACCGGGGGATGCCCCACCACTGCCAGCACTGCAGTGAGGGGGGATGAGGAGAGGGGGGAAGACAGTGGCTGTTAGGGGTGTGCCAGGCTCCGTTGAGATGTCATCTCACCAGCAGAAAGGCAACCTCTCCCTCACACACAGCAAGAATTCAGGGCTGCCCGACTCACCTTGCCCCACTCGGGATGCCACCCCTGCGCCTCCATGCGCAGGGGTGGGGCGGTGTACACGTCGGGGTCCACCTGGCCCCTGGCCGCCGAGTGCACCGCCATAAGTGGCACCTGTTTGACCACGGCATCGTACCGCGAGGACAGGTACCTGAGGTTTAGGGGGGGGGGAGGGGGGTCAGGTATTGCAGTCGCAACTTCTGCAAGGGCGAGGCGCTGCAGCGATGGATCCCCGCCTTCCACCGCAAGCCAGCATTCAGCAATGCGGCCCCGCCGTCCCCTCGCGCCGCTCACGACTTGAAGTTGAGGAGCAGGATGGGAAGGGTGACTGCCAGCACGCCGGCCTGGGTATACGCGCCCTTGACCAGGAACACCAGCGCGGTGAAAACCACCATGAGCATCTGGCACCACACCAGCTTGTGCGCAACGTAGGGCCAGAACTGGCCGCCGGACTCGTACTGCCGCAGGTACACATACCTGCGAGGGCGGGCGGGGAGCACGACGGTGATTTTGAGGTTGGAGGGGTGAATGGCGGGCAAGGGCAAATCGCTAGGGCGACAGTCAAAACATGAACTTGGATGGCAACCCCCCTCTCATCCCTTCGTGCCACGTACAGCATCTGGTATCGCCAGATGGGCCAGAGCAGGACAAAGTAGATCAGGCCAAAGGGGAGGATGAGGGGCGAAACCACCGCATACCTGCGTCATGCGTGGAATGGGGAGGAGGGGGAGTGGAGCACAGTATATGGGGGGGGTAGAGAGGCTATGGCGCGGCGAATACTTCAACGCTCTTTCCCACCTAAAGCCTGTACCCACCCAAAGACCATGACAAAGTTCATCATGATGGGGATGCCGATGTCCCTCCCAAAGCGGCAATTCCGGTTCGGCAGCTCTAGGGCCTTGTCCCTCTCAGTTTTGCTTGCTGTCCGTTGGTGGAAGGGGAGGTGCAGGGAGAACATCTGAGCCAGGAGTTTTTGAAGGTGGCGGCGTCACCATCCATGTTCGAAGTCCCCGAAGGCAGGCCCCAGCATGTAGAGAATCATCCAGCGTCAGGCGCCTCCCTTCCTGAGAGAAGCTGCCCTCCTTCCTCATAAGCCGGTCCATCTGCCTTTCCCTCATTAACTGCATCACTTGCTGCCCCCCCGATCGGGAACTTCATCCCCGTTACCCCATCCCAAGCCCCAACAAGTCCTCACCCGGGATGAGCCTGATCAGGCGCCCGATGCTCGTCACCACGGCCTGGCTGGGGTAGAACAGGCGGAAGAAGGCCATGACAAAGGCGCGGTACGAGATATAGTTGATGAAGAAGTTGGAGGCGGCGGGGATGGCCGAGCCCAGCGCCGACCAGATCCGGCCCGGCTCCGTGAGGAAGGTGCGCAGCTCCCCGAGGATGGTGCCGCCCAGCATGGCTCCCAGGAACACGTTAAAGATGTCCCTGGTCGAATGAAGAGGGGGGGCATGGCAGTCTTCTGGTTACACGGGTTAAGGGAATACGTGTGCATGCCTTCAAGTGGAGGGCAGGCTGTCTGGTAAAAGGACAGGGGCCCTGAGGCAGCTACCGGCACCCACCAGGCAAAGAATAGGTCGGCGCAGCGTCTATCCAGGGCCGACAGGCTGACCGCCTGCCCCTCCACCTGCGACGCGAGCCAGGCATGGGGAGGAAAGGTTGCGGGGAAGTAGATGGGGAAAATGAGGGGGCTCTGCCGCCAGTCGTCCGCTTGGGTCTTCCTCTGGCTATACTGTGTGCTGGCGCGTCGAGTGCTCAGCACACTGCTCAATGCCCATGCTCCTTCCCCATGACGGCCCCCAACCCCTCGATCCCATCAAGCCCCTCACCCTCACCCACCCAATCAGCCCACCCCCCCACCTGGGCAAGGTAGTAGATGATGACCGGCAGGATGACCATGTTGTAGATGCTGAGCAGGATCGAGGGCCCCAGCGAGGTAATTAGATTGCGCAGCAGCGCAGGGAACCCCGTCTCCCCACAGATCCACAGGTCTGAGCCGGCCGAGGCCGTGCCGGCTGCGGGGTTGCCGCACAGCGCTATGGTCAGCTGGGCAAAGGCCCCTGCGCAGGGAGGTGGTGAGGGGATGAGGGAACTGAGGGTGTTGAACAGACCGTCGCGTCCAAGGCCCTGTGCCATGCAGGCGCCCGGCCCCTGAGGCCGCCACCGTCGCCATTTCAGGGGATCAAATCACCTGTGAATGCGCCGATGGGCACCAGCATAATGAGGATGATGCCGGGGAGGGCCCACAGCGGGCGCAGCGTGCGCTGCCACCAGCTGCGGCGCGTCGGGTTTTGGGTAGGTCGTGGGGGAGGGGGGGTGTTCACAGCGGCAGGGTCAGGCAGCACGCACTGCATGCCCGACCAAACCCTCATCTAAACTCCTGCAGCTCGTCGGGAAGGGCAGTTACATCGAAGACCCCAGCTCCCGCTCGCACCTGCGCTGCAAGGACGGCCAGTTGATGTCCTCTGGGCGCGGTGCGGGTTCCACCCGGAACAAACGCTGCATGATGGGGTTCAGGTTGGTCTGCACGGCGATGGCCGCCGCCTCCTGGGACCTGCCGTGAGGGGAAAGGGTGCGCCGATGGCTGGTCGAGGCGTGGGAAGAAAAGATGCTCCTGCTTAGCTACGACAACCTCCCTCCCCTCCCTCGCGGCCCCCGGGGGAGCCTGCGGCACTTGCCTGAAGGTGGCGAAGAAGCATGTGGAGGGCAGGTCCGACAGCACCTCCTCGCGTCGCTCCGCCGCCTTCCTCTGCATCGAGGCGGAGGGTTTGGGGATGGTCCGGGAATGGGTGTGGTGTGTGTGGGTGGATGCTGAGGGGTTGCAGGGCGAGCGTGAACATTGGAATCTGTGTGTGGGCCCGACTGCGCGCATGCATGGCGCAGTGGGAGCTGCCGTGGCAACTCTCGCAGACAATCGCCCTCCTGTTCAATCGGCAGCCGCCGCGATGCTGGTCGCGGCGACCGGGTCCACCTCCAAAATTGACAAATGCCAACCCAAACGGAGTCCTTTCATCCCCTAACCAGCACCTGCAGCTTGCTCAGCCGCCTCTGGGCCTTGGCGATGCTGGCCCGCAGCTTGTCCAGCTTGTGGGGCTTCAGGCCCCCCTTCTTCAGCCGGTACTGCAGCCTCTCCAACGCAGCCTGCTGCCCATCCCACCTGTGGATCACGTCGTCCACGGGCTGCGCGGTCGAAGGGAGAAAGCGGGGACAGGGGTGTCACAGAGGGGTCTGCGCAGGGGGCTCACCACGGTGCAGTCTACCCCCCGATGCATGCGCGCCTGACAATTTCCGTCGGCCCCTCCCTCCCACCTCAGATTGCTTGGTTGCCGAAAGGCCCAGATCTTAAGTACCAAAAAGACACCCCAGGCCCAAGTGCCACACGCCGTGCCGGCCCCCGTCTGCCCCCTGCGCGCACCTTGGTGGGGTAGATAGGGATGATGGCGTCGAAGTCGTCGCCAAACAGCTCCGTGAAGAGCTCGGTTGCCACTCGCACGCGCTTGTTGAACATGGCCCACTGCACATCCCGACGCCAGTCGGTGTAGCTGCGGGTGGAAAGGGGGACCAGGCTGGGCATGGCAGTGCCCGCGACAGACCCCAGGCGGCACCACCAGCCTGGCGCCACGAGGCAGGCGCGCCTGCGACCGGCACACCACGCGGCGGGCGGCCTGCGGTGTCGGGTCCCACCCACCTCTGGTCCCGGCGCAGGAGCTGGCGGAGCCAGCGCGCCACGCGCCACCGCCGCCGCTCCGCCGCCTCCTCCGGCTCGGGCGTGCTGGGGCTGGACCCCGTCCACAAGCCGTTCTCCACCTCTGCGAAAGTGCCGGGCGGCAGTCATGCGCCGTCGGATGGAAGCCAAGGCCTCGTGGTCGCTCTGAGGGGCGCCGGGAGAATCCCAGGGCGCCCTCCAGCGCTGGCCAACAGGGGCCCCACCATCTGCGCTCGCCCCAGCGCACGGTTCCCGACCCCGCCCCGCCCCGAGCCCAACACACTCCGTCGCCCGCCCCGCCCGGCCCCTCCCTCCGTCCCTCCCCACTCCTCATCCTCTCGTCCCCCGCTACGACAAATCACCACTGCCAACCCAGCGCTCACCGTCCAGCGCCAGCGCAAAGTCGTCCTGCGCGGCGGTGTAGGCCGGCACGCCCGGCACCACGGCGACCTGCGCCGCGCCTGCCGCCGCCGGCGCGCCGCGCGCAAAGTCAAACACGCCCAGGCGTAGGAGGTGCAGCTTCTCCACGGGCGCATCGGTGACCAGGACGGTGAAGAGGCTGGCGTTAGCCTGGCCGGCTGTTGCGGTGCCGTCATCGCGATGCAAGCGCGGCGAGGGGCCGCGACGCGGCCGCGCCGGCGCGGCGCCGCCGTGCGGCAGCCACCAGGCGCGCACGCCGGCCAGTGCGTCGTCCGAGCCGTTCTCGTCGCCGTCGTCGTCCCCAGCCCCGCGCCCTGCGTCGACGCTGGGGGGCGACAGCGGCGCCGCCTCGGCGTCCGCGCTGGGCGTGCGACTGGGTTCCGACTCCGGCCCCGGTGGCGGCGCCGCGCCCGGCACAAAGGCGGCCAAGGCGTCGTCCGTGGCGCCCATCCCCGCCCCGCCGCTGTCGCCGCTGGCACCGGAGCGCGCGCGCACGTGGCGGATGACGCGGATCGCGTCTCGCGCGTTGCTGCCGCGCCGGCCGCCCAGCGCGGCGGCCACAGCCGCCGCGTGCGAGCCGGAGCGCGCATGGCGAGGGCGCCGCGACGTGTGCTGCGAGGAGCAGAGCGGCGTGCCGGGCCCCGAGCCGCTGCCCAGGCTCAGGACCGAGCCGGAGCGGGGCATGCGCGCTGGGATGAGGGAGAGCGCAGCGCCCCCGCCATCAATCGCGAGGAGATCGGCGTGCGCCTCCTCCCCGCGGTCGCCATCGATCGCCTGGCCGTCGCGCGGCCCCGCGCCACCCGCTCGGGGGCTGCCGAAGCGCTGGCGCAGGGACAGCTCCCCTTCGCCGTCGTGCGGACCTGGGCCCATGCCCCCGCCGCCGTCTTCGCCGGCGCCCTCCACGGCGCCACGGGCCCCTTCAACGCCAGACAGTCCAACAGCGGCACCAACTCCACCGGGCTCCGACTGCGCGGAGCTGGTGGCGCCGCGGAAGCCGTGCAGCAGCACGCGGTCCTCGTCCTCGCCCCAGGCGCGCGCCGGCGGGGCCAGCGCTCGCCGCACGCGCCCCGACCCCGCCAGCAGGGCGTCCGCCAGGGCGCGGGGGCTCTTGATCCCGGCCAGCGCGCCGCCCGCGCGCTGGCCGGCCCCCTCCACCAGCTCCAGCTCCTGGGCGGGGCAGGCAGACGCGCCGTCGGCCAGGCCCAGGCGCGAACGCGAGGGCGCGGGCATGGCCGCCCTGCTCAGTTGGCTGCCCGTGGCGGTGCGCCTGGTTGGAGGTGGCGAGGCGGGACGGCGCAGAAGCTGCCTGAGATCGTGCGCGGTGCACAGATGCAGGGGTCCATCTTTCCGCCCCCCTGAAACACACGGGGCCCTGCATGCACACCACCAGCTCACCTCGGCAGCTGCAGGCGGTTGGTCAGCGCCGAGCCCAGGGAGAAGCCTCGGGCCACGGGCTCCGGATCTGGGCTCGCCCCGCGCTTCGCGCCGGGCCAGGCCGCCGGCGTGAGGGATATCTCCGTCCCCTCGCTCTCGTTCCGGCAAGCGGACGCCCCTGGCTCGTCCTCGTGCATCTCAGTCGCCTGCGATCGTGCGTGTTCGTGTGGGTCTGGGGGAGCGGAAGGGGTGGGCAAGAGGCGCTGGGCGGATGCCACATCTTTCCCGAGCGCGAGGCCAGCGGACGTCCGCCGCTCCCCCCTCCTGCCCGGCCCAGAGGGCAGCCCGACCACCCAGCAGGAGACCCGCCCGACCACACCTGGACCATGTATGCCTGGCGGATGGCGATATACTCCTTGTAGTACTCCACCGTCAGCCAGCAGGTCCAGGCGCAGAACACGTAGACAAGGGTGAAGTGGACCCTGTGGAGCGGGGAAGCGCATACGGAGGGGGGTGGGATACGTCTCACGGCACACTGGAGGTGGTGACTGGCAGGGCGAGGGGCAGCAACGGCAGCAGAGGTGGCTTTAGCGAGGTACCTTCCCTCCCACCTTTTCCCTGTCCTGAACTTCCCTACGTCCCATTGCTTACCACATCAGGGAACTCCTGGGGTGAACGTTGCTGATGGTCAGCTGGATGAAGACCGAGGTGAAGGTGTCGCTGACGGCGTCGGCCTTGGCCTGCGACGCATAGTATCGCTCTGCAGGTGGAAATAGTGGCAGGGTTGGAGATGGGAGGGGGGGTGCAAGGCAGGGCAGGCTTTGGAGTGAGGGGTTGCTGGGGCGGGCAGGCTTCTCGGAACCCCCACCCTTGCACGATTGCGGGTGCCCGTGAGACGGGCCATCATCCGTCGCAACCCCCCCACCAGTCCTGCGGGCCTGCATTCAGTCTGGCCACACAGCCCACCTCCGTAGTTGATGGGCAGCAGGACAGCCACGGCCAGGACGGTCATGGGCGCAAAGAGCGTCACGCCAAAGCCGATGATGCGCGTCGCGACCTGCATGCGATGAGGTTGGAGGGGGAGGGTGGAGGGAGAAACTGGGCCAAAGGGTCCCCTGCATTGTGTGCCTCCTGCCACGCCTGGCTGCACCATGCAGCTCGCGATTCCAGCCCTGCCCCCCCTGCGCCAACCCCCAGCACCTCACCACATGTTCCCTCCACCCAGGGACCCACCAGCGCGTCCAGGCCAGCGCTGCGCACGAGCTCCTCGTCCGAGATGGTGAAGACCGGGACCAGCCAGGACCAGATGCGGTGGTGCCCTGTCAGCTTCATGCGCGGCGGCTTGCGCGTGACGTGGGGCGAGTCCTGATGCGTGGGGGTGGGAGGGCGTGAAGAGGAGTGCGCGTGCGTGCGGCTGTGGGTGTGGAAACTCTGGCGCCGTGTGGGGTCCGAGTGTGCCGCACAGGAACACCCCAACAAAGCAGCAAGGGCCGCCCGCCCCACAGGCAGGCGCCCCCGGGCCTCCCATTCCCAGCGAGGGCGCCACGCGGGTAGCTCTCCCCAGTCCGATTCACAAAAATCCAAACCAGCAGGGCACTCACCAGCCGGGCCTGGTAGAAGGAGAAGGTCCCGCGCCAGGCGATAAACAGGCCCAGCATGACGATGCCAATGATGGCATTGAACCAGAGTCCCGTGATGATGTTCTGCCCACTGACTGCTGTGTTGAAGCAGATGGGGCTGGTGCTGTTCTGGCAGGCATTGGTGTCCGGGTCCGTGCCCAGAGTGATCTGGGGAGGGCCGAGGAAGGGGGGCTGGCGAATGTTAACATCGGTGGTCATGCACCTCCCGGACAACCCTGATGGGCTCCCCCGCGGCTCGGCGTGCGTGAAAGCAGATACGCGTAACGGTGGGACAGCATGACCCACCTTGTAGCCAGGTGCGGGGGGCGGCGGGCCCAGGGTGTCGTTCATGGGGTCTGGCTGCCGAGGGCCGCGGCAGCCCACCAAGGCAGTGGGACGCAGGGAATGCGCTCGCACTCAACCCCTGGCGCGTGTACACGGCGCCATCTGCAGTGGCCAAGAGACCAGAAGGCGTTCCGTCGCAGTGCCGTACTGCCGTTGGGGATGAGGTACGTCGTTGACTTCGAGACGGAGGTGGTGCTTTTAAACTCTGTCAGTTGCAAACGTCCTCACGGGACGCCCCGTATCTTGCCCGCACCTGGGCTGGCACGTCTCACGACGCGCTCATCCGGCTGCAGCGCGGTGGAAGGGACCTCGGGGGTATTGGGTACGACGCGACCCACCACTCGCGGTCTGGACTCGGAGGCAGCCACCGCCAGAAAGATATGCGTCAACTGCTCCCGACTTCCACGCATATACTTCTACCAGAGTCGCGAGGGGGTACCTGGGTCGCCTTTGGTAATACCTACACTCCAAGCAGGTTGTTTTTATCTGTACAGGGGACAAGAACCTACAACGTGGATGTGTAGGTAGGGTATGCTCCGAGGTAAGAGCTGCATCACCCGTCAGGGTGTCTAGTCTCACCGCCCAGGTGTACATGAGATACGCGGTTCGTGGAATTAACATATTGATTACACATTGTTGGTTGACACGGGAGGTGCTGCAGTACACCCACACTCCCTCATATCGCTGGGAAGCGTACTAGGAGCCAGCATGAGGCCACAGAGCATATGACGGACACTATAAAGGCAACATCAGATGTCCTGCTGTGAGAGCTGGTCGAGTGTTATTATTATGACTGCAGTATGCCGCAGAGCTTGTGTAGGCATAGAGAAGATGCAAAGTTCAGGGTGCCAACGTCCTTGCCGCAGCACCCCCAGCATGACCAAGTTCGCCACGTTCCGCCACGAACAGTGACGAAGCTGTTCTGCATGCTTCGATTGGCATCTTAAACGTCCTCATTCAAGTCTGTTGAGTGGATATCCGCGACAAGGAACGGGGTTGTCCATCGACCCTCCAAGACCACCCCCTGCGCGCCGCAGCCACCAGCGAGGATGGCCTCCACAGAGGCGAATCAGGCTGGGACCCCTGCCCTCACTCCAGAGGAAGAGTCGAAGATTTTGCAGCAGGTAGGAATGACCGCCGTGTGAATGGGTACCGCCAGAGCCATCGCGGGGACTGGCCCACCCTCCCTTCACCCACCCCACATCTCAATGGAACCCCCCAGGTCGAGTTTTATTTCTCCGACTCCAACCTGCCCCGCGATGCTTTCATGCTGGAACAGTCCAAGGCCCACCCCGAGGGCTTCGTCCCCCTCCGCGTCATCTCCCTGTTCTCCCGCATGAAGACCCTGCTCAAGCTGGACAAGGCCTGCAAGCAGGTCCCGCCCGCCCTCATGGACGTCATCGTGGGCATCGTCAAGCGCTCCAGCGTCCTGGCGCTGAACGAGGATGCCACTGCCGTCAAGCGCGTGGAGGTGGGCGTCTGGGGAGGACGGCTGGGGTTGGAGGGCCGGGGCTGCTCAGGGGCAAGGCTCACGACTGCCAACTCTGCATCTGGCGTGGCTCTCGGTGGTGCATCGTCTCGCGCCGTCTGCCGCATGTGCATGCATGCCCATGCGCTGGCACCCCTCCGGCTCGCAGGACCTCCCCCCCGTCGAGGAGCTGTCGAAGAAGACCGACGAGCAGTCCCTGTATGCGTCGCCCTTTCCTTTCGACACCACCCTGGACCAGCTCACGGGTGGGGTGCTTGCCTGCTGGCTCAGGGTTCTCCGTGTGGAGGACCAGGCAGGAGCGAGGGGCCCCGATGGAATGCCCCAACAAGATATCTGGGCATGATCACCGGCTATTCTCTGGGCGTGCAGATGTCCGACGGCCCTGGTTGGGCCCAACAACCACCCCCCAACTCCTCCCAGCCATCCATCTTGCCCCCGTCATCATACAGAGTTTTTCAGCAGAGTGGGCGAGCTCAGGAGCGTCCGCATGCGGCGCTTCCTGGCCAGCAAGGACTTCCGCGGCTCGGTATTCCTGGAGTTCTCCAGCCCCGAGGAGGCCGCTCGGGTACGCAGCAGCACACCCAGGGGCAGTGCTCGGGCGAGGCAGGAAGGGAGGAGAGGGGAGGGGGGAATGGAGCTCTTTGAAAATTACCACAAGCCGTTGGCGCAAGGTCGCGCGGTGGTCAGGGAGTGGAAGTCTAGATGTGCCGCGGGGGAGACTAGATCCATGCGGGGTTGAGGGTTGCCACGGGCCTGAGGCGCGCCAGGGAATTGACCGAGGCTGACCTCTCAGCGCAGGCGCCATGCCCCTCCCCGTACCTCTGTGTCTGGCGCGCACCGCCACCCCGCACCGAGCTCGCCCTCCCGCAGGTGGCGGGCCAGTCGCTGGTCTTCCAGGGCGCCCCTCTCCAGCTGGAGCCCAAGCTGAGGTACGTGGCGAGGAGGGAGGAGGAGCGCGACGCACGCGCCGAGGCCGCCGACCAGGCCCCTGCCGCCGCTGCCGAGCCGGCGGCCCCTGCCCCCAGCGGCACTAAGCGCCCCCGTGAGGCCGAGGCGGCGGCAGCCCCCGCCGAGGCCGCCGCCGCGGTGGAGGTCGAGGACTTCACCCCCGGCTGCTGCGTGCGCTTCGACTTCGGCCCCGACCCCGGGTTCGTGGAGCAGCCCAGCTTTGGCCTGGTGAAGGACAGCTTTGGGGGCAAGGACGCGGGGCTAAAGTACGCCGACTATGCCGCAGTGAGTTCGGAACGGGAGGAAAACCACGCCCCCTCCCGAGGGCCCCGCCACCAGCCTGACCCGGAGGGGGACGGACCCTGGCAGGGCGCGCCAGGGGCGGCCCCGGGGCTGCAACAGCGGCCCGTACCCTGCAGTGCTCCGTGCCACTGGCCTGAGGGTTCTCATCCTGTGGGGCACAAGCCTGGAAGAGCACCTCTCCCGCCGCCCACCCCATGTTTGCGTTCCCTAACCCCTGCTTTCCCCCTCCACCCATGCTCCGCCGCAGGGTGCCACCTCTGGCGTGGCCCGGTTCGGCGAGCCGGAACAGGCGCAGCATGCTGTGAAGGACGTGGACGCCGAGGGGCGGCGGATGGTGGCGGGGTACCAGGCCGTTGTGCGGGTCCTCACCGGCGACGAGGAGAGGGAGTACATGGAGAAGGTCGCGCGGCAGCGGGCGGAGACCAAGGCGCAGGGGGGCGCCGGCGGCGGTCGTGGCGGGCGGGGGAGGGGCGGACGTGGCGGCAGGGGCCGCGGTCGCGGCCGTGGTAGACACTGATGAGGACCTGGCGAGGGGCGCAGGCGGGGGGCCCCTCGGCCGCTGGGCGGTCCATGCCCCAGATCTGTCTCTGGGCTGTCCGGATTTGCAGTGGCAGTGTTCCACCTTGCAGATTGGTTATGCTCTGGGAATGGTGTCATTGATGTCACACGACCAGGGGATGCGGCGTATGCTTCGAGCGAGCCGAAGATATGCCGCTACCGGGCTTGCGCCGATTGCACAGCTGCTTCCCGCAAGTGGGATCTGACTGGCGCAGTTGGTTGCCTCGATCGGCGAACCAGGAGGGGGGTGGGGGGGGGGGGAGGGCGGGAGAAGGGGAAGCAGGGGTTCCACCAAAAGCTGTGGGACGAAGTGCATTCGCAAGAAAGCACTTGACCAGCATCAGCATGTTGGCCGCCCCGTTCACATCGCGGTTGACGGCATGAACTCTGCAGGCCTTGTTGCCGCACCGCTTGGTGTCCCACACGTCCACCAGCTTCTCCACGCCATTGCGGACCCGCACGTACTGGTGGGCGTGCAGGGTGGTGTGACAGGCGCAGCACAGTTTGGAAGTCCTGTGCTCGTCGATCACCACCACCCTGCACACCAGCCGGAGGCGCCGCAAGAAGCGGATCCAGGGCCCCGGCGGGGCCCCCCGCATGATGCCCCCCCGGTCCTGGGCCGACCAGTTGCCCACGCCGACAATTGTAGTCATGCCCGGGGGGGCGCGGAACTGCTCCGCCAGCCGGTTGATGGCCCGCTCCCTGCCGACGTATGCTTGGTGGCGCAGCTTGCGGAACGGCTTCTCGTCCCTGTGCCAAGCCAGGCCCTGTCGCAAGGTGGGGACGATCCACGCGACCCGCGGCAGGAGCACCTCTGTGCTCGCTGTCTTATAGGTCGGGCACCTGCGGGAAGGGAAGAGGGGAGTTTGAGCAAGGAGATTATACAGTTGGAGCGATGCGAGGTGTCGTGACACAGTGCCCACCCCTGCAAGGCATACCCCTGCATTAACTCCACAACCCAATCACCACTCACTGGTACAGCTTCTTGACATAGGGTGGGGCGTTTCCGTGCCACTTCGCAATGGCCCTCTCCCGCCGCTTGGACCCCGACATGGAGTGGAACTCCTTTGAAGAGCAGGATGTCACGTTGGCGTGTTCGTCCACCGCGGTGAACATCTTGGTCCGGCCGGGGTCGATGCCGACGTACTTGTCTATCCTGGCATCCTCTGGAGGGGGGTCCCGCCTGCAAATTTTGTTGAGGGGGGTGGGGTGGGGTGAGTTGTGTTGTGGGAGCGCGGCACGTGTGGGAGGTTGGCGGGTGAGTGGGTGGGTGGGAAAGGTGGGTGCGCTTTGCTGCTGGTATACACCACATCCTCAGTCACTCCCGGGAACGGAGCAGCCAACACCCCTGCACAACTTGCAAGCGTCCCAGGCAATCACTGCAGCATGTCGACAAGCCAGGAGAACCATCCCTAGCAGCACACACCCCAGTGGTACAGTCACGGACCACTCACCGGTAGTATTCGTCGGCGATTCCCCTGCCCTGCGGGGCGCCCAGGGGCGCCCCGCCGCGGGTGCGCTTGCCGCTGGTCTTCGGGGCGTCAGGGGGGCGGGGCGGGGGGGCGCCGGGCCGGGGAGGCCCC